AGTTTTTCCTCTGGTTCTTCACGTTGGTAAGAATATAGATTTTTATGAGTTTTAGCCATCTTTCATGACACAGACTGCGACTTCTCTGCAAAGTCATGAAAAGTGAAAACTCACCACCCAGTGTTACCTTCTCTAAAGTGTTGATTCTTTTTCCTCTGTCAGAATTTTACTGTTTTTTTTTTCTATTTCTTTGAAGTAGTTTGTGGTGTGTTTGTTTGTTTGTTTTGTTTTGTTTTGTTTTGTTTTCCCAGGGCTAGGGATTGAACCCAAAACCTCAAGCATGCTAGGCAAGCATTGTACCACAGAATTGTTCCATGCATATCCCTAAGCATTTGTTTTTCTATATTTTGTCCAAAATTGATTTCATAGGAAGCAGAACTTTTGTCAATTAGATATGAATTATTTTGTCGATAAAGTCAGTTTTTAAAATTATAGTTTTATAAATATTTATTTTTCCCCTTTTTTCTTTAGGTGCCAGTTATAAAAATGATTAGTTACTTTTTTAATGTTTAACATTTTACATAAAGCTTTTTATGTGTATTTCCACTCTGATTATTGATGGGTTTAGGAATCCACATGTCTGTTTGGTACAACTAAGGTGTGGACATAATGGATGCATCCTATGAATGATTTCCTAGAACATAATTACTTCATTTTGCTTGAATCTATGTGTCTTAGTCCATTTTCTGTTGCTATAGTACAATACCTAAGACTAGAAAAGCAGCTTATTTTGGTTCATGGTTCTGGAGGCTAGGAAGACCATGAATGGACAGCAGCATCTGGTGTGGGCCTTGTGTTCCATCCATTCATGACAGAAAGCAAAAGGGCTAGGAGCACTGCAGAAGAGAGGAAATGAGGCTGAACTCCTGTGAAGGCATACAGTCTTGTGAGACGGGCTTTAATCCATTCATGAGGGCTCGCCCCCACCCCTGAACAGTCCCCACTTGGCCTTACCTTCCAGTATTGTCACACTGAAGAATTAAAGTTCTGACACCTGAGCTTTTGGGGGTCGCACTCAAACCTTAGCGCTAAGCTATGTTCCAGAGTAGCTTCCCACTTTTTTTGTGGGGGGTGGGTACCAGGGATTAAACTCACGACCTCACACTTACCAGGCAAGTGCTTAAGCTGCTGAGCTAAGGTAGCTTCCTATTATAGTACCACTTAAACGTGGTTGAGGCCACATGAGTTTCTCTCAGGCAACTGTTTGGGAAATGCTTTTTCATATCTACTCTCACCATTTCAAAACTGTCATTGTTTCCAACAGGTATAATACAGTGGTACCTCTATTTGTGAACTTCTTTCCACTATTCTGGTCACAAATTGTATTGGAAAGAACTGAATCAAATTCAGTGATTAGACGCAATGTTGACTGTATGGGGAAATTTTATTCAGTTCTTCTTCATTTTGGTTTGCATCCAGAATTGTGAAAGAATTAAGTTCATGAACCAAGATACCACTACATTTAATATAAATGTGCAACTTTGAGATTTTGGTGAAATTTTCATGATTGATTCAGCACATTTCAGGCAGAAGTTTTGAGAATCTATTTTTTTAAAACTTGCTTACATACTTGTTTGTATGAAAAGACAATTTTGAATCCAGTGACTGACCATAGGCTTCTCATGATAGGAAAGAAGGAAGTGTTGCCCTGATATCAGTGAATATTGGTTGGGAAAGCAGTTGTTTAATAGTATGTAAGATTTAGCCTGCCCATTTACATTAGTCTACAAATGTCAAATTAGGTGGAACATTTTGACAGCAGCTTATTTTTTGAGTTGTGGAATTTCCTGAGAATCTGGTAAAAATTATGGTTCTCTTCCTAGAACAATACACATATCACACAAATGTTTGTAAACAGTTTTAGAGAATTCAGGAGTTCCTTTGAAACATCCCAATTCAAACACTCCTTGTTTACTATAATTCAAGTCAAGTTATTAAAGCATTAATAACAATACAAATATGACTTTGTTTCTGATTTGATCACAGCAGAACAAAAAAAAACCTATTAGAAGTCATTGTAAGATATGCATGCTTTAAAAAAAACCTGTTATGATTTGTCTAAACTGTACTTCTTCAGAGGCAGATTTACAAAAATAGACCAACACCTATATAACTGACTTCTAAGCTGTTGTTACAACTGGTTTTAGTTCTTATATCTAGACCAGCTGATGTTTGTATATGTTATTTATATTGGGCAAAGAATTTCTTGTGATTTCTAGGACAGTGGGACAGTTGTGATGTCATATTCCTTGTATTTTTTTTGATTTCCAAAAGTCTAAATACTTGAAGATTTAAGCCTAAATACTTGAAGATTACCTTTAACGCATGTGGTTCCAGGAAGTGAATCTATGCAGCTATTTTTGAGGTCTTAGTTTCTATACTGCTACTTCTTAAAACTCAGCTCTCAGTAAATGATGAAAGACTGGATAGTTTCAATAGATAATCTTTTATGAATCTCCTTCTTTTACATTTCTGACACCTTTGTAGGGGTTGAAATGCAATGATTTTGTTTTCTGGGTCCTCAGTATCTCTTTGTGTACCTCTTTTGCCCTTGCAGTGTTAGTCTTATGATTCAGTTTTATTTCGCAGGACCTTTGTCAAAGGTTGGCATCTGGTAGCACACTTATATTCAGAACCTTACTCTTTCACAAGACTTCCTTCCCTCAGCTTGTTTATTGTTTTGGTTTTGTTTGTTTTTGAAACTGTATAGTTCAGGTTTGCTTTGAGCTTAGGTGGCCCAGGCTGGCCTTGAATTTGCAGTAGTCTTCCTGCCTCACCTCCTGAATGCTGGGATTACAAGTGCTCACTCTCATAGCCAACAGTTTTAAAATTTTTATTTTATATTTTTCTTTTGGCTTGTTTAAAGAGAAGGTCAGAGGTGGAGAGCTGGAAGGGACAGAAGCTCTAAGGGCTACCTCACCCTGTGATTGATATAGCCTTTCACTCCTCTTCAGCTACATTCTAGACCAGCTTTCCTACTTACCTCTGACTGCAGTTCTTTTGAAATTTTTTTGAGATGGGGGTCTCACTATATAGTTTAGATTGGCCTTAAACTTACTATATAGCCGAGGCTGGCTTCGAATTCGTGATGATCCTCCTGCCTCAGCCTCCCAAGTGCTGGGATTACAGGCATGTGCCACCATGTCCAGCCAAATAGTTTTTATTTATTTATTTAATTTTTAGAGTTTTTTGAGGCAGGGTCTATGTAGTTCAGGCTGATTTTGAACTCACTATATATCCGAGGCTGGCCTTGAGCTCATGGGGATTCTCCTGCCTCAGCCTCCTGATGCTGACATTATATGCATGTGCCACCACACTTTCTGACTATACGCTTATCTCACTGGCCATTTATGTGTTCCCCTTGCCTAATCCCTTGTTTCATTACCTAATTGCTTATCATGTTTTAGGGTGTAACTCATAGTCATTTTAGAAAAACATCCTAAAAACCTTTCACATAGGACAATGGTAGCTGCCCAGATTCCTGTATATGTTCAGGTATTTTGTGGGTTTTCCTTAGGGCATTTTTCTGGCCCAGTTAGGAAGAAATGAGCAAAGTGACAACTAAAGTGCAGACACTTAGGAAGAAATAGTTATCTTTTCTCAGAACTGAAAGTGGTTTAAAAATACTTCCTGAGAATTTCAGAGTAGAAAAGATCGTTACGTGAGCTGCTTGCTGCTGAATTACTTTGTGTGGTTAGGTAGAGGCTTGCCAATGGGTGGGCTCTTAGCAAGTGCTACTGAAGGCACCTGGTCTGGCTCAACATAAGGGTTAGGCCTTTGTTGCTGTAGCTGTTGCCAGCTTCCTGCTGATTTCCCAGTCTCCCTGAGTGAATATACCAGTTGTATTTGAGAGGTGAAATATGCTTTTAAAAAAGTTTCAGAATCAGTTTGAAAGAAGGGATCCAGAAATTAGAGGAATTAGAAATGTGATACTTGTTTTACTAACAGAAGTTGGGTCTTGTTAGAAGTTGAAAATGATTAATAAATGAACTTCTTTTAAGGATGGATAAAACCTCAGAGTAAGTGGAGAAATTTCAGTTATGAAAGGAATAACTTTCACTGGAATTATATTTAGTTTTTGAAACAAGTATATTAGAATTATTATAAAATATTCTTTTTAAGAAATTTGTGACGTGCTTCTGGGATGAGATGATTTAGCATGAGGCCTTCTGATTTTAGGTTCATCTAGTCCTGTGATGGTAAAGGATGTGTCTTCTTTAATAATCATCAGCCCCTTTGAGTTCCAAGAGTCTTAGAAAAACTAGAGTTGGAACAGAATTTGCTCTGTGAGCTAGAGCACACAAACAGGATCCTGTACATGTGTTCGCTAAGTGGTTAGACCACAGGGCTGAAGGCCTGGAAGATAATAACTTCCTTGTTATTGTTACTTGTGTGTGTGTTCTTTTTCCTCTGCTCTTGACAGTGAGATCCTTGAGAGTAAGTGCTTTATCTGGCTCATCTCCATCCCCCATAGCACCTGTGTCCCTTATGTAACATGATTCCCCAGTAAATATGCGTAGAATTCAGTTGAATTGTCCTTAACCATGTGTTTCATGTATTTTTTCCATGACGCCTACCTACTAAATTTATTTTTTGAGCTGTTTGGTTGCATTTGTCTACCACTACCTAATCCTTAGGAAAAGGTCTGCTTTTGAATAAAACTAATCACTTTATAGTAATTTGGTATCACTTGAGTTCTTTATTGTACCTTACTATAATGTTTTTCAAACTGAATTGCTACCATTAGTGGGTTGCAATCACCGTTTTTTTGTTTTAAGAGTATAGTGTATCATATGTGAGAGGGTATCACTTAATAAGGGTAAATATTGTTCTATGAAATTTTTACTTTAGGTAAATTTATATATTGTATATATATATATATACACATGTATGTGGTCATTGCTTTATGATGTAAAATATGTTTTATACTGGAGTCATGGTCAAAAAGTTTAAATAACACTGCTTTATTGTAATATTCTGTTATTTCATTTGTCATATAGCATTATGCCAGTACATTCAGGCTTCTAAAGCCAGGGATGGTGCCAGACCTTTCATTTCGAGTACGACTGAAGGTAAAAACAAAACAAAATTAAGAACACCCAAAGCTTTCTGATGGCTCTTAACATGTCTCTCCAATGGCATTTTGTATTTAACCTTCTAACTTTCTTGTACCAGTAGATTTTTTTCAGATTTGTATCCCTCTAGGTGGTGGGCTCTTTGGTTCTTCCCCTTCTTACTTTAATGTTTTTACTTCAGTATATTCTGTTTTTAGAAGGAGGAAAGGAGAAACAAAGGAGAATTTTAGAAATTTCAGATGATTCTGAACTGCCAAAATAGATAATTAGATTTACTTTGAAATTCGCTTTACTAATGTTCTGGTGTGTTTTAGTTTATATATTTTTCTTCAGTGATCATAGAAATGTATAGTTCGTTCTTAACTTAAAATATATTTCTATGATGTTTTCACTTTAAACAAATTATGATTTTCAGAGGAAAAAAGGATGGATGCAATCTTTTATTATTTCTTGGGCTTTCTTCCCTCTCTTCCAAGTAAATTAACCATTGGGATGGTAGTAATAATTGCATTTTGGAGAAAAGCAAAGACAACTAGTTGTGTCCACTATTAACCATGCTATACTTTTTCAGCTTCTTTAATGACCTAATAAATTTAATACTTTCCTACTCTTAGATGGTTGGCATACTAACCCCCTTGCCTTCATTTCTGTATCTTGCTGGACTGCCAAGCTCAGATGTTTATAATCTGGGTTTTAAATGGACTTTGTAGAGCTGATTTGCTTCATTCTTTTACAGGAGAAAATTTTGAGCAGACACCATTGAGACGCACATTCAAGTCTAAAGTCCTTGCCCGATATCCTGAGAATGTAGAATGGAATCCATTTGACCAAGATGCAGTGGGAATGGTCAGTAATTGTTAGCTTCAAGTGTGAGATAATTCAGGGTAATTTATAGTGGGATTATGAGTTTAGTAGCAGTAACTTTTGAAGAAGAGATTGTAATGCATTTGTTCATTATTCAGCATTTTGGTTAGTATATCATATATTCATAAAATATCCAGTGCACTAAAAGTCATAATATGTTTCTATTATGTCAGACACATATATACTATTAAATCAGTGAATTTATTTGAGTACTAACCAATTGATTGCTTATTGCACTGAGGTTACATAATGAAGTTTAGTTTGCTGTCATTCTGCATTGTATATATTTGGGTAATGTTTTAGAAATGGATCTATCTTTTCATAAATTTTTTTCATCATGATTTTGGATAGGACAGCATTTTAAGTCACATGTAGAAGAATACTACTCTGAATAAGCTAACCTTTATTGAATGTTTTACCTTATGCAAGTTACTAGTAAGCATTTTACATGTATTTATTCATCTAGTCCTTATAATACTCCTTAAATAGGTAATATTAAATAAACACAAACACATGTGTGTACATGTATGTTTAGATCTTAGGAAACTATATCTAGAGGAAGCTAGATCTTTTAGGAAACTCAGACCTACAGAGGTTAAGTAATGTGATAAGGTCGTATGGCTACTAAGTAGTCAAGCTGGGCCATGTATGCAAATCTGTAATCTGAGGCAGGGTATAACAAGTTGAAGTCCAGCCTGGACAACATAGCAAGACCCTGTCTCTTAAAATAGTCAAGCTGGAGTTTGAATATGGTCTTTATAGTTCCTAAGCAAATTTTAACCATATTTTAATACTACCTCCATTACTTTTTTTTTTTTTTTTTGCTCTTTAGATTTCTTGAAATCCATTACATTTTCAATAGCATTCCAAAGTTTTTCAAAGATGACCTTTTTGCTGTATACAATAACCCTCTAAAATGGGCGGAGAAAATTATATTATTATTTTACATATATGAGGAAACAGTCTTTGAGGACTTCAAGGTTTTATTTATTTATTTGGTCTTTTTGAGACAGAGTCTCACTATGTAGTGCAGGCTGACCTCAAACTCACAGTAGTCCTCTTGCCTCAGCCTCTTAAATGTTGGGATTGCAGGCATGCACAGCTACACCTGACTAACTTCAGGTTTTTTTTTTGACCATTTCCTATTTCAATTTTATATGCCATGTGCTGGAAACACTATAGGCTTTGGGAAATTGAATTCAAGGCTACTGATTGTAGTATAATGCAGGCCCTTGTATTTTTTAATCCAGGCTGTTAGTATTTCATTTATACAGCTAGGTTCATGTAAAACTGGAAAATGGGGATTGATTGATTCAGGTCATTTTGATTAACTATTCAGTTTCTTTGTACAGTCCATCTGAATTGAAATGATAATATACATCTTTATCCTGATCATACCATCATTGGTTTATATGAAATAGGTACCTTTTTTGATACGAAAAAGTTTGATTGACAACAGAATTTTGTAAGCTGATAAAATCTTAAACTTTATACAAATTTATTTTATTTTAGGTATGAAATTGCTATCTGGTTTTCAGATATATTTCTAACATCATCTAATATGTATCTTACTCTATCATGTCATTTTATCTTTGTTTTTTATTCTCATTTCTGAAATGCTCTTATTTGCCTTGTCTACTGATATAACCTCATTAAACTCATTTCTGAAGCTTTTTCTGTTGCGCTTAGGTTGAGCTGTTTGTTCAGTGTTTCTTAGTACTTTGTGTATGCTTCTGAACAGTCCTAATGACTATATTTTAATTTTATTTACTTGTGTGTCATGCAGTAGAATGAGAGAGGTTTAGAGCAGATAGATATATTTTGAATCCAGTACAGAGGCATTAAGGAAGGTAGGTAGGTAGATAAGGAGATATATTCTGGGGAGGATCAGTAGTGAAAGTTCTCACTACTTCTTGCCTTGTGTTTTGCAGCTGTGCATGCCCAAAGGGTTGGCATTCAAGACCCAGGCTGATCCTAGGGAGCCCCAGTTCCATGCCTTTATTATCACAAGGGAGGATGGCTCTCGGACATTCGGGTTTGCCCTCACATTTTATGAAGAGGTGACTAGCAAGCAGATCTGCAGTGCAATGCAGACCCTCTACCACATGCACAATGCTGAATATGATGTCCTTCATGCTCCCTTTACTGATGGCCAGGACCAGAGTGGCATGGAAGATGATGAAGGCACTCCTGGGACCAAGCTGCAGCGATTCAACTCGTATGACATTAGCCGGGACACACTCTACGTCTCTAAGTGCATCTGCCTCATCACACCTATGTCCTTTATGAAGGCTTGTCGGAATGTGTTGGAGCAGCTCCACCAGGCTGTCACTTCACCTCAGCCCCCACCTCTACCCCTTGAGAGCTACATATACAACGTACTTTATGAGGTGCCACTTCCACCGCCTGGTCGGTCTTTGAAGTTTTCTGGGGTCTATGGGCCGATAATCTGCCAGAGACCAAGTACCAATGAGCTTCCGCTATTTGACTTCCCTGTCAGAGAGGTCTTTGAACTGCTTGGCGTGGAGAATGTATTTCAGCTTTTCACTTGTGCCCTTCTGGAATTTCAAATTTTGCTCTACTCACAACGTAAGTCAGTGCTTACTAGAGCTCTCTGCCTGATAGGACTTCTCTTCTTTCCTTGTTCACACACAGTGGGGCTGACTATTAAGGTCAAAGACTTTTATAATTTGAGCAGAATCTAGAACTTTTGCATGTAGGTAGGGTTTGGCAAGTTGATGGAATGTGAGAAGCCTAACATTTCTGATTGGCTCATATCATGGCCTTCTCCAGTTTGGGAGGGGAACTCTGCCTCCTCACATCCCCTCTGATCAAAACTGTGAGAAGGGTGCAGGTGATGATCCCCGGAAGTGATGGTCCATCAGTTCACGTCTGTCATTCTTCAGTTACTTCTGCTCCTTCCTCAGTTTGATAGTAAAATCAAAAGATTCACACCGGTTGATCTTCTTATATAGGAAACTATGAGAAAATATGTTTGAGAGATTCTTCTTTCTGTTGTTGTTCAACCAAATAAATGAGAAATTGAATGTGAGCCGCAGTTTTGGACAAAATAATAAGTAGATCAGAAGGAAACGATGTTTATTAGGTAAACTAGACAAGTAATATAAAATTCAGTTATTTAGTACATATTATAGACAGGATACTATGAGCCAGTCATTGTTTCGAGGGTGGGAGCATAGAGAAATTCTTTCTATATTGGAACTTATATGCTATTGGGAAAAGAGGGATGGTTAAATAAATAAAATATACAGTATGGAAGGTAGTTAATAAGTTCTATGAAGAAAATGGGGAAAGAATAGTGTTTTGTGGAAAGATATGGCAGTTTTTAACAGGGCAATTAGGTTAGACATCTCTGAGCGACTTATTAATGTGTAGAAAAAGTGTTTATTTGGAGGGCACAGGAAATACAAGGGGTCTAAGACAAGAATGTGTTTTGTGAATTCAATAACAAGGAGGAACCAGGCATGGTGGCATATGCCTGTAATCCCAGCACTCAAGACTGAGACAGGAAGATTGCTCAGAGCTCAAGGCCAATCTAAACAACATAGCAACACCCTATCGCAAAGGAAAGAAAGAAAAAGAAGAAACTGGGTGAATGGAATGGAATGAATGAGAAGGAATGAAGTAGGAAATGGCCTTAGAGACTTAATAGGAAGCTAGATAGCATAGAACTATGTAGTCTATTGTAAGGACTTTGCTTTTACAGAGACACATAGCCATCAAAGATTTTTTTTTTTACCTTTTATTTAGATACAAATGTTTGCAGAACTTTTGTATGCACTCCCACAAATTCACCAGATGTTAACATCTTACCACATTTGCTTTATCCTTATGTACATGTGTGAACATTAATTGAATTGTTGAGCATTATTACAGGCACCCTGTCCCAGGACTTTTTTTTTTTGGTCTGTTTGAGACAGTCTTGCTATGCAGTTCAGGCTCTCCTTCAACTCACTTTATAGCCCATGCTGGCCTCAAACTAGCAGCAGTCATTCTGCCTCAGTCTTCTGAGGGCTGATCCCCCATCCAGCTGTCCTTTGACTCTTTTTTTTTTTTTTTTTTTTGCGGTACTGGGGATTGAACTCACAACCTTGTGCTTGCCAGGCAGGCACTTATAGCACTGAGCTAAATCCTCAGCCCTGTCCTTTGACTCTTAAATGATTCTTTTTTTTCCTAAGAACAGGGGCTTCTTTTATGTAATTAGATGATTATCAGATGTAGGAAGTTTAATATTATCCAGTGATATATCACAATAATTATTTTATTTCTAACACAGGATCTAGTTTAGTAACATGTGTTGTATTTAGTTGTCAGTTTCTCTACCTTTACTTTTTATTCATAATGTTGAAATATTTTGAATAGTACCAGCAAGTTATCTTGTAGAATTTCTTTCTGTTTGGGTTTGTCTGGTATTTCATCAAGACTGGAATCAGGCTGCAGATTTTTGTCAGAAATGTGACAAAAGTGATGTTGTAGTTTTCTCAGTATATCAGGAGGCACATACTGTCTGTCATCTTTCCCCTTTTTTGGCGATGTTAACTTGATGACATCATTTAGTTAAGAAAGTTATCATTTTTCCCTGTAATTAAAAAGTAATTTGTAGCCAGGCGTGGTGACTCATGCCTGTAATCCCAGCACTCGGGAGGCTGAGGCAGAAGGATCGTTGTGAGTTCTGAGACCAGCCTGGGCTACAAAGTGAGCTCAAGGCCAGCCTGAACTGCATAGCGCGAGACCCTGTCTCAAAAAAGACAACAACAAAAAAAAGTAGTTTGTGGGAAGATGCTTTGCTTTCAATTCTTGTGCAAGGCTTTCCCTAATAATTTTAATAGCTAGTGATGATTTTGGTCTGAATGTATAATTTCAATGATGGTTGAAAAATGGTGGTTTTTTACAAAACCATATTAACAAATGAACACTTAACTATAAAGAAGAACATTTCATTTGCCCTGGTTGTTATCATTCTCTGGAATCATAGATTTCTATTTTATACTTATTACTGTAGTATTTATTTCAGTACTGATTTTTATATTGTCACATTGTACCAAATTTGGCCCATGGTCAAAAGAGTGACACCTAACCTGCACTGTGCTGGGGCTTTTGTCTTTTGCTTAACCATGTATTCTAACCATAGAACAGTGACTCAGTAAATGTGTTTTAAATGAATAACTGACACTTGTAACGGGATCCACTATCACTGTCTAAATTCTATATCCCCAAAGGGGAATGGAGGAGAGGAAAGAATCTATAGTTAGGAGGCCATTGTGATAGTCCAGGTGAGAGGTGATACTGAAAGGTATCACCAGGACTAAAGAGGTTACTACGAAGTAGTATGAAATGATTGGGGCTCTGGATCTAGTTTGAAAATAAAGTAATGAAGAGTATGTTGAATTGATGGATGTATACCCCATCCTTAGTGGATAACCACTAATTAATTCCAGTTAATTACTAGTGGGGATGCTCCTAGGCTTTTTACATGAAGTCTGATATTTTAAAATGTTGGCAACAGTGTTCTTAATTAAAACTGTAGGCCAAACAAAAAGCATGTGTTGGTTCCCAAAGCTTCACTTTTCAACTTCTGGTTTAAAAGACCTCATTGTAGCCAAGCATGGTGGTACATGCCTATAATCTCAGCACTTGAGAAGCTGAGGCAGGAGGATCATCCTAAGTTTGAGGTCAGCTTGGGCTATATAGTTCAAGGCCAGCCTGGACTACATCCAAGATCCTGTCTCAAAACAAAAAACAAAAACACCCAGCAAAAAAACCCAAAAAACCCTCATTGTGCTCACTGGCTCAGTTCTTTGAACTCTGTCACTTAAGGATTTTTCATGGAGGCTTTAGTACTACTCAGGCTTGTTGGTGAAATCTTTGCTCATTGATGATTAACTCAGTCTCCGACCCCTCTCCTTTTTCCTGGGGTCTATTTGGAGCTTAAAGTCCCAACTTCTCATCAAGACTTGACTTTTCTGGTGATCACCAGCTGTCTGAAGCAATCCAGGGACACCAGGCATAAGCCATTCATTCGAATGCAAAAGATATCAGGGTTTTTAGGAACTATGGCAGGAACTGAGGTTGACAACTAAATATGTATCTTTATCACACTAACAAAAAGATGTTTTCAGATGTTTTGATTAGTCAGAAACAAGGTGGTAGGTAGCTTCTGTAATCCCAGCACTCAGAAGGCTGAGGCAGGAGGATTGCTGCTGGTTCAAAGCCAGCCTGGGCTACAAAGTGGATCCAAGACCAGCCTGAACTGCATAGCGAGACCCTGTCTCAAAAAGACAAAGAAACAAACAAACTTTACTACTATGCAGAAATCTCTGAGTGCCTTCCCTGCTGAGGCTAGATACTCTGAGTTTTTCTGTTGTTCTGGTCACCCTTTGCCCTTTCCACTTAAGAGAATCTCCTACCATATTCTGAGGTAGTGTCTGGAGCACAGTACCATTGATTATTTCTGTCATAGTTCCGAATTAAACTTTGCTGCTAGCTGGGCCTGAGTGTGTGAAGGGATATATTTCAACTTGTGGTCCACCATATTCTTTGAGTTGTCTCTTGATACCCACAGAGGAGCCCACTGAGCATATCTCTGCTCACATTTATTCTCATTCTTTTGAAATGAAATGTGAAATTGCAATGAAACCTTTAACTTAGTATTTGAGAAATAAGTGCCTCATTTTTGATGTGGTTTGTATATCTACTTTTTTTTCTTTTGACCTAGATTACCAGAGACTGATGACTGTGGCGGAAACAATTACAGCGCTCATGTTTCCTTTTCAGTGGCAGCATGTCTATGTCCCTATTCTCCCAGCTTCTCTCCTGCATTTCTTAGATGCGCCTGTTCCCTACCTGATGGGCTTGCACTCCAATGGATTGGATGACCGATCAAAGCTGGAGCTGCCTCAAGAGGTGAGAGCCCGAGGGTTAGTGTCTCCGACCTTAATCCAGGACTAGAGAGACAGAAGCTTTGGAATAAGGTCATTGGAATAATGTCACCAAGTTTATTTTCTCTTGTTTTGGGGTATGTGAAAAAACGTACAGTCAACATTAATTTAATTTAGATCATTCTGGCGACACCATCTTTATATTTTTTTCCCAAATCCATTTTATTTCAAGGATAAAAAGAAAGAAAAAAGAAAGAGGAAAAAGAAACTTAAACAAAATTCAAAACATGTCAACTGGGGCAACAATGGTGCATACATTACGCATTGTCATCCTTAGATGATTCACTCAGCGCACAAGACATCTGCATTCATTTGTCCAAGCAATATCAGCCCAAATCGTTCTCCTCAGCAAACTCAAAGAAATCAGTAGTATAACTATCTTAGCTATTTTTTATATACATACACATACACATATACATATGTTTTCCTTTCAGCGTCTCATATTAATGAAACAATGATGTTTACACATGTGTGGAGATACCCTCTTTATCAGCTGTATACATTATAATCTGTTTTGTTTGTATTTCCTTTTTCATTTTTCCAATATGTATTTTACATACTTTTGAAGAAATTTATTAAAAAAATGTTTTATTGTATAAAACTTCTACCCAAAAGGATAGCATAATAAATCCCTGCTCTCAACAGCCAACTTCAGTTACCATGTGTTAACTTGCATTTTTACTTCCTACACCTTTTACCTCCTGTTATTTTATATCCTGCATAATGTAATTTAGTTACTACCTTAGTAGTCAGACACATATCAGTCAGTAGTTTTCTTTTATAGGTCACAGTTGATCTGTAGAAGTTGACCTGATTATAGTGATTCTTGTAGTCCTGAACCAGTTTTGAAAACTTTCCTAATTTAAAATAAAGCTTTGAGGAAATTCTTTTCCTCTCTTACTGTGGCCTGCTCTTCCCCTTACTTCAGATATCAAAAGAATTGATAAAAAATATGTATTTATTTCCTGCTTCATTCTAAAATAGATTAAAAACATATTAAAAATAGAAATAATATACTTTTGGCTCTGAGAGTGTGACTGGGGTGGGTTACTTTCCTAATATGGCAAGAAAGGTCTGGCTTTGATCTCTAGCACCACAAAAAAGAAAAAAAGATGGTTTTACTTTTCATTTTCTTAGACTTAACAATAGAACTGGTCTATCTTTTTTGATTTTTATTTTGTTTTTTGTTTTTATTTTGTGGCTGATAAGAAACTTAGCTGGTTATAGAGGGAAGTACTTTCCTACATTTTCTTAGTTATTTATTAGAAAGTGCTAGGAAGAAGTCTTTAGAGGACTGGTGTTAGCTTAACTCTTGTCTCCTGCCTCTACTATTCCCCTGCCCCCCATGCTAGAGAATTAACTAAAGGCTTGCATATGCATATGCTCTAGCACTGAGATACACCGTGAAGCTGCTCTGAAAACTTCTTTGGGTACATATTTTTGTGTATAACGGGGGAGTATGAGTAGGGAGACATCTGTAGAAGAGATCATTTTTATGGATTTGACTCTGGGCAACAATTATGCCACTGGCATGTCTGGGCAGCACCCCCTGATGAATGTCACTGATAATCTTTGCTTTTTTCTGCTCTTGACCTCTGTTTCTCTTTCTGTAAGCTTCCTCCATTTCCTGTCCTTTTCCTCTGGCTCTGCAGAGTTTTGTGTTCTTCTGGGATGGGACAAGATTACTTAAAGAAAAAAATCTAAATGATAGTACAAACTGTTGAGTTACCACATTTTTTGTGTACTTCCCTGCTAGATACATAAATACACATGAAGAGTAGTCATCAAGGCTGGAGAAATGGAGCTTTTGGCTATAAGCAAATTATATTTAATATTGATAACTACTTCTAGTTACGATTTTCTAAGTCAAAATAAAAATAAGAAATGATTGAAGACAGAAGTCCGAAGAGGCATAATCTGATAAATAGGTCACTGAGCAAGAAGCCAGATTTTTCCATTTTGTTTTCATCTTTGGCATCAGCTTGTTGTATACTTGGGGCAAATTCTGTTCCCTACAGTATCTTTCAGCATCATTCTCTGTATGCTTATGTGTTTGAATGTGTGGAAGGCTGCTGGGAGATCAGCAGTTCTCCTAATGGGACCGTTTGAGATTTATGGGTTGAGACTCCAAAGTCTCTCCACACGGAAGTATTAGAGCCTCTGTGTTTGGGGCATCCCCATCACTGCTGCAGTCTTTGTACCCAGGCGTCTGCTTTGTACCCTCTTTGTACCCTCTGGTCTGCTTGGACAGAGTGGTGGCAGTGGGATTGTGGAAGACCAGCATGTGGTTCATAAGCAGTTCTAGAGTGTTGGAGTCTCACCTCACCCAGATTTTGTCTCAGAAGGTCACACACTTCTGAGGGCAGTCAGGTAATAGGATGCATCCTACCTTGGCATATAACTTTTGAAATATCTGAATTTGTTCAGTGCCTATGGAAAAACTGGGTTTCTCAAGGCAGAGAGCACTGTGAGGGGTTAACACATAATGAATGGAGAGAAACAATATCTTTTTTTTTTTGAGACAGCATTTGCCTCTGTAGGTCAAGCTGGCCTTGAGCTCACCTTGTATCCCAGGTTGGCCTCAAACTCACAGCATTCCTCCTGCCTCAGCTTCGCAAGTGCTAGGATTACAGGCTTGTGCCATCATGCCCAGTTTGAGACACAATGTTGAATATTTCAGAAATGATACATGTTTATAGTAAAGCCTAACAGTAAAAATTAGCTCATTTCATTATCTGTAGATTACTGATTTCAGCATTTTGGTGGACATCCTCTTTTTTTTTTTTTTTTTTTTTTTTTTTTTTTTTTTGGTCTTTTTGAGACAGGGTCTTATAGTTCAGGCTGGCCTTGAACTCATTCTACAAGCCCAGGTTGGCTTCAGACTTGCAGTGATCCTCCTGTCTCAACCGCTTGAGAACTGAGATTACAAGCAAATGTCATCATGCTCAACTGGTGGACCATCTTTAAATTTTGTTAGAAGGAAGCTTTGAGGCAGAGCTAGGGACATTCAGTGTGGCCTGTACGAGGAGGGATCATGAGGACAGTGAAGTGGGGCAAGTTTGGTTTATAAAAGGGACTTTCTCCAGAGGGACAGAAAGTATACATTTCTTAGACCCCTGAATTAGAATTCATCAGTTGCTGCCTCTCTTTGGACACCAGAAATCTGTAAAAAGCCCTTTGTCCTTCTTTACACCAACATATGAGCTCAGCCAGCCTTGAGCAAGTGAAAGTGTTGGGCTGCCTTTGTAAGTTGTCCATTGTTCTGTGCTTCTTTTGGGCTTCATTGTCTAAATCCAGGAAGAGGCAATTCATCCACATCTAGGGAAGTAAGCAGAGATGTTAAAGGGGAAGTTGTCACTTTTTTTACTGGCCTTGGACTGACCCTCCTTCTGGTCTTCTTTTAGCTTCTTTTACCAGTTGCCCTCTAGTAATGTACGAGTTGAGCTCCCTTGCAGTGAATAACACAAGGATAGGTAGGAAGGATGAAGGAATGTGCATATAGGTGGAGCAGGCTGTGATTTGTTAGAAACTCAGGGTTGGGAAAGGGCATTGTGACCTCCTGCAGGAAGATATTTGGGACACTTTTTGGGATTTGGGGATCTGTGTGATCACTATCCCAGAGTAGTTTAAGTCTTCCCATGACCCTTCCCAATAAAGTAGAAGATTAACAGGGCAAATGATCATTTGGAGTGCAGTATCTCTTCCATGTGCTACTTCTCAAGGGTCCTGGAAAAGGTATGAGGAAAACATCACATGTTTTTAGGTAGTAAACATATATTGGCCTTTTAAATGGGCAGTGTCTAGTAGGTACTAGACAAGTAGGCAGTTGTCTAGGAGGTTAACTCTTGAAAGTTCCCTGTGAGCTAAGGAGAGGACTGCCTGTTAGGTTGTAAGTTGTTTCTGTTTGTCTGGTTCCTCTGTGTCGTAGGAGGAAACAGTGTGAAGTTACTCTGTGTGGCTAGAAACTGAATGGGCTTTTTTACTTTGTGTTCTTAGCCCTCCCTTCTTCAGCCCAGTTTTGCAAAGAATGACTACTAGGATCTACTTAGAAGCTCCCATTTTATCTTACCCACCTCTGAAATGCACCTGAGCTTCTTTCTTTCTTCAGCCTCCTTTTACCAGTGGTATCCACTAATATGAGCACTGAGTATGAATTTTATAAAGAAAAAAAGAATTTTATAAAATTCTTTACAGACACTAGACTTGGCTCACAGTAATGGGAGAAAATGCAACCATTCCTTGCTGAATGGATTTTGTTTTTGATTGCCTCTATATTTCCTATTAGAAAAACTGGTTTTAAAGAAAGGAGAACGAAGGGTGTAAATTATTATATTGAGTATCGCTAGTGAATCAATGTCTTGTTCTATTAATGGCATGGACAGAGCCTATAAGGCAAGTAGTTCATGTCTTGATGAATGAGTTAATTTTATTTTTAGTATCTTTATGGATGGCTTGGCAATTCTTTTATCCTTTGAATTTTTGATATGAGAAAGCTTTCATTTTTAGTAATTGGTTGATAGTAATTCAGGCACTCAGCAAGTATTTGCATGCAAGATCTGTTGAAATGTGCAGTATATGGAGTAAAGTATATTAAACTGGAGTAGCTATATTAGGTTACCTTCCTACCTCCACTTTCAGAAAATACGGAATAATGGAGCTAGAAAAATTACTTGTCTGGGCTGGGGATTTAGCTCAGCGGCATAAGCACCTGCCTTGCAAGTGCGTGGTCGTGAGTTCAATCCCCTTTTTTTTTTCAAAAAAAAGAAAAAAAGAAAAATTACTCATCCATAGGGGGAAAAGCAGAAAAGAAATTTGTAACTCATACTACAATAAAATCAGTTTTTGACAAATTAAAAATTAAATATCACAGCACAAGTTAAATCATATAGAAGAAAATAGTAAAACCTTTCTGACATTTGCATAAAGATTTTGTAAACAATGTACAGAAAATATTATCCTTAAAATAAAGACTGATAATTTGATTTTCTAACTTAGGGAAAAATCTTGAAGATAAAAATGAAGAGAAAAAATATACATAGCATATAACCTAAAAAGAGCATTAAGAAAATAGAAATGTAAAGAATTCCCGCAAGTCAGTCAAAGTTAATAAATGACCCAATAAGAAAGTAGAGTAAGATACGAATAGACACTGTCCCCCAAAATGCACATTTTAAATTTTCACTAGCAATTACGAATGTATAAATCATATACACTCTCTAGTACCACTTTGTTTATTTCATTGGAAAATTTCAGAAGTATGGTGATGGCAAGTTTTGGAAGTCCCTGGGTTCCATGGAAGGAATTTGAATTAGTAGGTCACTTTGGATTGCTAGTCCAAATGCTGGTTATTGCTACCACAGTGAAACATGTCTAGACAATATCTTATAAAGCTAACATTTTGTATACCATATAATAATGGTTCCATTCCTAGGATAGTCCCAAAATAAAAACCTCATAGAAAATTTAAAAGCATGTAGAACTTTAAAGGCATGCATAAATATGTTATGAATTAAAAACAAAAGGTGAGATAGGGAGTAGCTCTATGGTATAAGACTTACTTACTGTATCTGAAGCCCTGCATTTGATACCCAGCTCTGAAAACAAGGGAGGAAGGCAAAAAAATAATAAGTAAGCAAGCATTCTGGGTAGTAATTTTACTGGGAGCAGAAACATGTCAGACAGGGAACAGGATTGGGGAAGAATACATAGGAGATAAGAATAGTGGTAATGTTCCAGTTTTTGAGTTGGGCTTGAAAAAAACAAGTCTTTAAGATTCCCTGGAAATTATCTGCTTAATTCCTGAAAACAGTGTATAGGATCTCTTGCAGTAGGGAAGAGGTTCAAGGGAAAAAGCTCAAGGGATAAGACAGAGGGGAGGAGAAATAAGTAGACTATAGATACACCATCCACAGGAGTCTAATAAACTCAATGAATGTAAACACTATAATGTAAACATTACATGCCAAAGCATAGAAGATTTATGATACCAACAAGAATGAAATATAGGATAGAGGCTTTGGAGGGAGAGAGGGAGACAGGGTAAGGGGATTAAAAAAGAAAGAAAGAAGCTGTAGAATGTTTGTATAACCACTCCCCAAGATGATTGTAAACTGCATGAACTGCAAATGTACTAACAAACAATGACAACAACAACAAAATGAACAGCCGCCCCCAACAATGTGAAATGTTTGGTTTCTAGTAACAAAGTCAGCATTGGGCATTTTCAAAATCTTTGCCAATGCAATGGAATGAAAATATATGTGAAAAATGTTTTGTGGGCCTTCCTTGGCTGAACTAAAATTGAATATGTTTTCATATTCAAAGTTATTTAGTGCATAGTTAGAAATTACCAAGTCTCTTGTTTGTCAGATCCCCAGCCAATCAGCAGTATATGAGAGTGGAGAGTGCTTTCTTTACATCCTCTCAGACAGCAATGTTAAAGTCAGAGAAGAGCATTGGAATTATTAGATCAGCCATCAGATCCTGCAAATTGGCACTGAGACTCAGAAAAGGGTAACATACTTAGTGTGCTCAGGGTCATATAAAAAGATGGTGACAGTTGGGACTGGAACCTGCATATTCTAAGTCACTCCTAATGTTGTTCCCACAGACTGGGATTCATGGATGTTTCAAATGTTTAATAAAGCATTTGCTTGACATGAGACTTATGATATCCAAACCTTTATCTCCAACTTATTGGGAGGAAAAAAATCTTTCCTAAGATCACATGACTAGAAAGTGGCAGAGAAGGATAGGAACACAAGTCTCATTTTTGAGCCTCACATTTCTTACATGTACCCATTTCTGATGTTTTTTCTCATGTTCAGTATCCTTTCTAAATGATGCCTAGCAGTTGTTTGTACTTTTTTAAACAATGTGTTCTATTTATTTATTTATTTATGGTACTGGGGATTGAACTCATGACCTCGTGCTTGCTAGGCAGGCACTTATGCCACTGAGCTAAGGATCCAGCCCTTGTTTGTACTCTTCATTCTATTTTGATTTCCAGGCTAACCTCTGCTTTGTAGATGTTGACAACCACTTCGTTGAGCTGCCAGAGGATCTGCCTCAATTTCCCAACAAATTGGAATTTGTCCAGGAAGTCTCTGAGATTCTCATGGCATTTGGCATTCCCCCTGAAGGCAACCTTCATTGCAGCGAGAGTGCTTCCAAGCTGAAGAGGCTCCGCGCTTCTGAGCTCGTCTCTGACAAGAGGAATGGGAACATTGCCGGCTCTCCTTTACATTCCTATGAGCTCCTCAAGGAGAATGAAACTATTGCCCGGCTCCAAGCCTTAGTCAAGAGGACTGGGGTGAGCTTGGAAAAGGTAAGATGCTGAGTTTGAGACTAATAATTTGATCTGTGCTAGAGTACTGTCCTGGTGAAGTAGGGCGTGGGATGGGGAAGTATCAGTTCAGGGCATAGCATATTTGTGAATGACTGTTCTGCTCCAGCAGATGTTACACTTGCAAATGCTGCTGAAATCTAAATATGGGAAGCTTGTAACATGCGTGTTGGGGAGAGCCTACTGCCATTCTGTGTGCGAACAAGGTGATTTGGAGGGTAGTTATGGTGATCCTTTTGTTCAGACCTTTTCCAGATGCATTTTCCTGTGTTTCATATTGACCCAAGGCACATAGAGCAGGTATTAACTGATGTGTAACTCAGAGAGCCACTGTATTCTCCCTAAGATTCAGTGCCCTACCAAGTAGTTGAGCATAGTCTAGAATTAGTCCTTTTGAATTCTAGGGCTGTGCTACCATGGGGATGTATTACACAGTTTTCGACCCTCTGCTTTCTTCTTTTTTCCTTCCCTCTCTCCTTCCCTCTGTCTGTCTTTCATTGGTTCATTTGTTCATATTAGGGATTGAACCCTGGGTTTTCACATGGAGTTACATTTCCAGCCCTTTTTGTATTTGTATTTTGTGATAGGATCTTTCTAAGTAGCTAAGGTGCCCAGACCGTGCTCCAACTTGTGATCCTCCTGCTTTGGCTACCAGAGCTGGGATCACAGATGTGCTTCCCTATGTCTGACTTTGAAACTGAGCGTTCTGTACTTATTTGCCCATTTCTTTGCCCTCCCAGTTCTCACTGTTAAATTATTTTTCTGAATTACATATTAAGCAGATGAGGCAGTGTATTAATTTTGTTGGAATTTTTTTAGTGAAATGTGAAACATTTCATTTTTCTGCTTTATTTAGTCAGCACAAGATACTTTTTTAAAAAGTCATGACCATTTAAAGGGCAGATAAAAAGTTTAGGAAGATTTAAAGTTATGTCTTTCTTAAAGGAAAATCTTACAAAGATAAGGAAAGTAATATGGTAAACTGACAAAGTCAGAGGCAAAAAGCCAACGTTATTGTTTCCTTACTGACTTCCTGCAGTCCCTCTTTCTCCTTGAGCCTTGAGATGATTAGTGCATTTTCCTTTATGGGTGGTTTCTTTCTGCCTACAATGTTTTTATTTCCATTTCAAGTTGCTAAAATCCTTTAAATGTAATTCTTTCCTCCACATTAGAATCTTGCTCTTCTCTTATTTTTCTTCCAATTTTTCCCTCTTTTGTTTCTCACCTTTTCACCATTGGCTGCTAAGTAAAAGACTACTGGAAAAAAATCAGATGAGTTGCATTTCTTTGTTTTGAGATGGGTCTTGAGATAGGTCTTGCTATGTAGTCCAGACTGACTCCAAACTCAAGATCCTCCCACCTCAGCCTCTGAGTACTGGGTTTATAGATACTGTATATGTATTTCTTTTGGTAACATGTATGTTTTCTCAGCCATCATTTTGTTATTGTTGTTGTTTGTTTTTTGTTTTTTTGTAGTTGGAAGTGCGTGAAGACCCCAGTAACAATAAGGATCTCAAAGTTCAGTGTGATGAAGAAGAACTGAGGGTTTACCAGCTAAACATTCAGATCCGGGAGGTTTTTGCAAATCGTTTTACTCAGATGTTTGCAGATTATGAAGTGTTTGTCATTCAGCCTAGCCAGGATAAGGAATCCTGGTTCACCAACAGGGAGCAGATGCAAAACTTTGATAAAGTGAGTATAATCCTGTCTGGGAGGTGGTGAAGAATGAGAACTTCAGTTATATTTTGAAGAAGTAACTGAAAATGAGTCTTTCATATTACTGGAACTAGTAATATGAAGTATGGTCTTCTGATGTTGACAAAGGGGAAGTTCTTATTGCATAAGAACAGATGTTCTGGTTATGACTGTAAGGTGACTTACCTCCAGCTAAGTCCCTCTTTCCTTTGTTACCTCCTCCTTTCCCTCCCTTACAACACTGGGAGAAAGAACTTTTTTCCCCCTCGTACTGGGATTGAACCCAGGGGCTTCACATTTTTTTCTTTTTTGAGACAGGGTCTTACTTGAATTGCCCAGGCTTGATCTTGGACTTGCAATTCTTCTGCCTCTGCCTTCTAGAGTGCTGGGATTATAAATGTGTGCCACCATACCTGACTAAAACACTCAAGGAAAAGTGTATGTGTAGTTCAAGCATCAGAGTGCCCAAGAAGGTTACCTAACTTTACACCAGAATGAAAGTATTGATACTTGAACTTATATGAATTTTTGTTTCTTTTAAGATAGAGTCTCATTGTGTTTGGCTTTGAATTAGCTCTGTAGCCCAGGTTGACCTCAGACTGGTGATCCTTTTGTCTCAACCTCCTGTGTGCTAGATGTATGAATGTATATGGTTGCTGGTAGTGGTGCACAGTCCCAGCTACCCAGGAAACCAAGGCAGGGCAATAACAAGATGAAGGCCAGCCTGGGCAACTTAGTAGGATCTGTCTCAAAATAAAGTTATAGGGCTAGAGACATATCTCACTGATACAGCACTTGCCTCACATGTGCAAGGTCCTGGATTCAATTTTCAGCACTGCAAAGAGAAAAAATAAATAAATAAATAAGCTGGGTATGGCAGTGTAGGAGATAATCTTAGTACTCTGGGAGGCTGAGACAAGAGGACGACAAGTTTAACCTCAGTCTGGGCAATTTAATGAGCCCCTGCCTCTTAAAAAAAAAAAAAAACAAGTGATTATATAGATTGCTTACCATAAAGCTCTAGCACACTACATAAAGAGTGAATTTGTCATACCCTTTGAGCATATTTACTTTGCCGGTCATGTCTCCCATTCTCTTCCTTATCAGTGACTATTTTTCTCTATGTCCTCTTAGGCATCTTTTCTGTCAGATCAGCCTGAGCCCTACCTACCCTTCCTCTCAAGATTCTTGGAGACTCAGATGTTTGCTTCTTTCATTGATAACAAAATCATGTGCCACGACGATGATGACAAAGACCCTGTGCTCCGGGTATTTGATTCCCGAGTAGACAAGATCAGACTTTTGAATGTTCGAACACCCACTCTCCGCACCTCCATGTACCAGAAGTGTACCACTGTAGATGAAGCAGGTGAGGCCTCCGTGAGCCAGGCATTTCAGTCTCACGGGCTGTGTCACTGACAAGTCCCTATCTAAGTACACCCTCTTCTGGCTCTGGGTCTGCTTTTGCATCATATGTCGTCGTCATTGTATTGTCTTATCTTGCTGCTGTTGTTGCCTAACTATCTTTTCATCTTTTAACATTGTGTTAGTCAGGGTAGTGCTGTAACCTAATAATCAGTGCGGTTAAGCAGATGTGGGAAGGGAGAACTGGTGGTTGTTGATGTTTGCTTAGCTTCTCAGCAGCCTAACCAGAAATGGAGATTCTGTTTCTTTATCCAGCTCTCCTTAACATGCTGACTTTTATATTGATGCTGTCATCTTATGGTTATGACGCTTTTTATATTCAATTCAAGGCAAGAAGAGGGGAAACTCAATACCAACTTTATTTTCCCCTTTATCAGAAAGCACATGTTTTCCTAGAAATTCTCAATTTTTGTTGTCTTATAGGCCAGAATCATATGACCACCTTTAAAGTGCAAGAGAATGTGTGAAAGTGAATAGTAACTGGGGCTCATGCTACACTGAATAACAGAAATTCTGTAATCAAGAAAGAAGGGACGAATGAAACATGAATAACAAGTTGTTATTTTTCAACAAAAACAGAGGCCTAGCCCATGTTTTTTCTTCTATGAAGCCTTCTCTGATGCCCAGGTTAAGCACGTGTGCTCCTGTGTGCTTTGTTTTTGTCCCACCCCTAATAAGCCCTATTCTTTTGAGCAGTCATCATTAGGGAACAGGTTAAATGCAGAGACTGTATTTACTCATTTTCTTACCCTAATCTAGCATTTTTTAGGAACATATGGTCATTAAAAGTTGTGCATGGTGGCGCACGCCTATAATCCCAACACTCAGGAAGCTGATGGAGTAGGATTGCTGTGTCGGAGCCCGTCCTAGGCTACATAGCTAGTTGAAGGCCAGCCTGCACTGCATAATGAGTCTCTGTCTCAAGAAAACCAAAAAATAAAAACAAAAAGTTGCGCATTACACAAATGATTGAGCATATCTGTTTATTCATAGAGACCATATCTAGATCAGTTTTGCTAGTGGATAGCGTCGGCTAGAAATGTTAGATTAAGTAGTATATTCACTTCCTTATAGGATGTCTAGTGTCTGTATCATAGCCTTTTTGTATGCTTTTTTTCATTCATTTACCATTTATTATACCTTCTCTTTGGCCTACATATGCTAAATGCTGAACAAATATTTGCCAAATGAATGTGCCAGTCATTTTTTTATTTTAAGGTTCTGAAGTCACAACTGATTACAGTTTGAATGTTTGATCAGTGTTACCTCCTCTTCCTTTCTTTGTTTCTTTCTTGCATTACTGGGGGAATTAAACCTGGGAATCCTCTACCACTGAGTTACATTCCCAGGCTTAAAAAAAAATTTTTTTTTTTTTTGGAGACAGGTCTCACTGAGGTGCCCAGGCTGGCTTTGAACTTGGAGCAGTCCTCCTGCCTCATCCTCATACTCCCTGAATGCCAGGATTACAGATGTTCACTGCTGCATCTGACTCAACCTTACATTTCCTAGCCTTTTGTTTTTACATTTCAGATTCCTATTCTGCCTTTCATTAAGACGATAGTGTTTGGGGCTGGGGATTTAGCTCAGCGGCATAAACGCCTGCCTTGAAAGCAGGCAGTCGTGAGTTCGATCCCCAGTACCAATAAAAAAGAAAAAGACCAAAAAAAAAAAGATGACAGTGTTTTTGGCTAAGACTTGAGGACATGTTGTCCATGCAAGTAGACTGTTGCAACACAGTTGCCCCTGCTTCCTGGGATGCATAAGGCTTCAGATTCCTGAACTCTTCCTGGTCTTCAGACATAGAGAGCTTGATGGCGATTTTTATCGTGCTGTATAGTTCAAAGAAGCATTTTGCAAATCAGAATTTTCCATTTCCTTTCATACTGCGTTAACACTTGAAAATGATAATATTTGTTTATAGCACACTAGAGTAGAAGGAGATACCTTCTTCTTATGACTATAAAGCCGGAGACTCTAGTCACTTGAGGCCCTGTCTGCCACAAGGGTTGAGGCAATCAATTTTTAGCAGTCTGTAACTGGTTTTGAACACTAAATATTGCATCATACTGATTTGAATTACTCTGGTCTCCATTGTGTCCAGAACATGTTTCAGGAGCATGACAGAATATGGGATTTAGAATATGAAATGAAGACTTAACTAACCCTCATTTGTAACGCTTTCTTTAGAAAAATGTATGTCACCGAGGCTTTTCAGACATACACTTTTTCCACAGAAATCATGGGTTTATCTTTGGCATTGGCATATCCCTTGGTATGTGCCAGAGATATATACTTCAGATATGCTAATGCAAGGTTCTTGTCACTGGTCTTAGATCCAGCTATCTTATCCCAACCTGAATGAATTAGTCTGATTGGAGAATGGCAGTTTATTGGAGGTACTTGAAAATGTTACAGTTTGGCTGGGGGTGGTGGTGCATGCCTATAATCCCAGCACTCTCCTTAGGAGGCCAAGGAAAAAGGGTGGCCACAAGTTCAAGATCAGCCTGGACTACATGGTAAGGTTCTGTCTCAAGATTAAAAAAGTTACAATTAAAGAGATCTTGTCAACTCTACCTACCCAGTAAAAGTAATGCTAACTCATCATTATATTCATAGAGCCTCAAATTGGGCATTTAATAAGATTTACTGAATGAGCCTAAGATTAGGGTGATATAAAGAAGACCCAAAAAGATCACTTGACCTAGAACACAAAGCAAGACTCAAGGATTCTCATGCTTTTTTGCATGATTCTAGAAAATACCAGGAGAGTGATCAGTCTTTCTTACATCTTTTAAAATCTGTAAAATTTTCGAGGTACCATTGGCATACTATGTATTTAAATTTTTGTCTTGGTGAACATACCTATAACTTCAAAACTTTATCATGTCACTGTGATTATTTTTAAACAAATGTTATATAAACATAATAACAGTAACCCTAATTCTTTTGTTTTGTTTTATGTTTTGAGACAGAGTCTCACTATGTAGTTCAGGCTGGCCTTAAACTCATTATGTTGTCCAGGCTAACCTTGAACTAGAAGTGATCCTTCTGCTTCAACCTCCTGAGTACTGGAATTACAATTATAAGTGTGTGCCACCACACCTAGATAACCCTGTCTTGAATTCTTTTTTTTATATAGATGGAAAAACTGATATTAGGGGGATGCCTTAGTATGGCATCCTTAATCCCAGCATCATACCATTAATCCCGGCATCATACCCTCTAGATCCAGCCACCTCCAAAAAGCCCTATGTATCATTGTATGTGGCTTTGGAAGTGACATTTAGATACAAGCCATAACATTCCACCCCTGGCCCCCCAAAATTTCATGTGCATTGTTTTATGCATAAGGCATTTAGTACTTCTGTAAGAGTTGCCAAAGTCCTAAGAGTTTCAGCACTGCCAAAAAGTCCAAGTCCAGAATCTTCTCTGAAATTTAAGATAAACTTAACTGTAGAACTCCTATACAAATGAAAAGAAAGTTAAACACTTCCAACATTCAGTGGCACAAGTTACACATTTCCATTCCAAAAGCTAGAACTAGGAGAATAGAAATGAATGGGACCAAAGAAGGTCCAAAATCCAGCAGGGCAAGCAAGTCCCACCATTCTACATAGAGCACTGGGGCAGACTGTGGCAAGATGTAAACTCCAGAGGGCTTGGGTAGCTCTGCCCCTACAACACTGCAGGTGGTTATTGATAGGATTATTTCCAAAAGATGAAAAATATTTCCAAAAGATGAGAAGTATAAAACAAAAAGCAGCCTTTATTCCGAGAACACGGAGAGAGATGGCTGGCACCCCCCACCACTGGTGTCCCACAATCTCTCCGGCGGACACGTGGCGTGGAGGGTATGTAACTAGCCTCGGTTTGGGGTGGAACCTAAGAAGGGCATTAGGGATGCACAGGTAGCCCATTGGTCCTAGGTTTGGCACCATAGGTAAATTTCCAGGGGCGGGAAGATGGCTTCACAGGTAAATTCCTAGGGGTGGGGAAGATAGGGGCTTCCTGCTTCCCGTTGAGGCTTTCTTGGCTACAGTGTCCTGTCTGGGCCAAAACCCTTTCAGTTATAGCTCCCACAGCCTCCCTCTTGGGCCAGCTCTGCTTACTCCCTGTAGCTTTCCTCAGACAATCCACATTCCTGGACTCTGCAAACTTGTAGGTTCTCCACTTCACTCTTCAGATTCATATAACTTCACTCATTGCCCTCTCAGGAGCATACTGCATGGCCTCCCAGGCCTTCTGAAACCTGTAACCCTCTCTGATTCTAACATTTGCATCTGGTTTTGGCCATTTAGATTTCATATACATATAGTGTGTATAAAATATTTATATATTTTTTCCATCAGGTGTAGTGGCTGGCTTTTTTGCATACCTGGTAATCTTTGATCTTGATTGTGTATTCCAGGCTGGCCTTGAACTTGCAGCAGTCCTGCCTCGGCCTCTTAAGTGCTGCCTTTAGAGGTATGCACTACCACACTGGCTTTTGCTACTATATTTTATTACTTCTAGCCACCTTGTTTTCGCTCATCTTTTACTTTGGTCTCTTAATTAAGGGAATCTACTGGATTCTGCCTAAATTTCCCTTTCTTGTGTCCCAGCCCTGAAACTCTCTCAAGGCAGTTAGCTGGGGCAATTGTAGTAATTACTTCTGTTTCTTGTTTCTCAGTGACTGCTGTCTTTCATCACCTATAGTCCAGTGTGTTTAAATGCATTCTTTTGTTTACTTTGCTTGTTTTTAATTTTTATTCCTGTTATTTCAAGCAGGAGGGTAAAAACCAGTCTCTCACTCCATCTTGGCCTAACATGAAAAAAACATTTGACTTAGTTTTTGTTTGTTTGTTTGTTTGTTTGTTTGTTTTTAATTCTCATTCAGAGAAAGCAATTGAGCTGCGCCTGGCAAAAATCGACCATACTGCAGTTCACCCACATTTACTTGACATGAAGATCGGACAAGGGAAGTATGAGCCAGGCTTTTTCCCTAAGCTCCAGTCTGATGTACTTTCTACTGGGCCAGCCAGCAACAAGTGAGTCAACCTGAGATTACTTGCCCCAGTCCTGGGCCACATACGTGAGAGTCATTCAGTTTCTGAGTTGGAGGTGGTATCCCCAAAAGACCTCAGAATTATTAAAAGTAAATATGGAGAAGACCTAGATTATATAGGGCTTTTACTTATTTGAATGAGAAAAAGATGTCAGAGTATCGGTCAGGGCCTGTCTCTGTTGGGCAAACTGAGATGGCTGTACATGGTTAGGACCTGCAACAAGCCAGGCTGGGTATGGGTTCAAGTCATCTTGTGCTTGGATCTCATCCAACAACTAACCAGCCTTGTTCAGTAAGTAGTGGCTGGAATAATTGGATCCCGCACTGCAAGCTGGATTGTTCTTCTTTATTTACTTAGAGAAATGATATATCAAAGCTCAAGGAGAGTTGAATGACTATAGTTTCAAGTCTGAATCTCAAGTTTTTATAGCTATTTGAAGACAGATATATCTGTCCTGTTAAAGCACTTCTTTTTAAGCACTTCCTCAGAGCATCTGAACTGTTGCTGGTGGCTTAGTGGTTTCCTGTGCTCAGCACTGGCCCCTAGACTTTCAAGTTTTCTCCTGTTAGTTGACCTTACTCGTCAGCACTAGAGGTTGAACTCAGAGCCTTTGCCCTGAGCTATATTCCTAGCAGTGTTTTACTTTTTATTTATTTTATTTTATTTTGCCTAGTTGCCTAGGCTGGGCATGGACTTGTGATCCTCCCCAAATGCTAAGATTACAGGCAGGCACCCCCTTGCACAGCAGTAGAATGTTCTTAATTGCCTGCTTTGATTCTTTTAGGTGGACAAAAAGGAATGCCCCTGCCCAGTGGAGGCGGAAAGACCGGCAGAAGCAACATACAGAACACCTGCGTTTAGATAATGACCAGAGAGAGGTAAGAAACCTTAAGAATGACAAGAAGTGACCCTATTATCATGCTACCCACATCTTTTCTTTCCTTGGCCTCTGGTCTAAATCATGTGTTTTAGCAATGACCTCCCCATAAAGAAGGGTTAATAGTAGGTTTGGTTCTTCACACATGATTCTGGCCTCAGATTATAACAATTGAGGATGATAGGGGCTGGGGATTTAGCTCAGTGGCATAAGCACCTGCCTTGCTAGCAGGCGGTCATGAGTTCAATCCCTAGTACCGATTAAAAAAAAAAAAAAAACAATTGAGGATGTACAATATTTAACAAGTGTCAGCCAACCATTGACCATGGAGGTCCTCTCCATATTCACCCATGTGTGATATGCATTTCCTCAGAAGTTCAGTAAAAACTTCAGAGGATGGGACTTTGAAACTAGGGAGAAATTCTTTTGAAATTAGTAAGGTTTTGTTTTGTTTGTCTGTTTCTGCAGTACTGGGGATTGAACCTGGGACCTTCATCTGACCTTCACCCAAGCTTTTTATTTTTATTATTGTGAAACAGGGTCACACTAAGTTGTCCAGGCAGGACGTGAACTTGCATTCAATCCTCCTGCTTTACAGTCCCAAGTGCTGAGATTACAGATGTATACCACCATGCTAACTGGCTTTTTGTTTTTGTGGTGTGGTAGCATGGGAGTTAATTTTGTTAGTGTGAAAAGGGGGCAACATGAGTTTGGGTTAAGGCTATGAGTTTGTGAATGGGGAGAGGGGCTTTTTTCTGTAGTTTAGTTTAAAAGAGGTAATCTTGAGGGTTTTTTCTTTGGAAAAGAGAGAGGGGGAGGACATTATCAAGTGTTTGGGGAATGATTATTCTTGAATTTATTCCTGCATTTATTCCTGTATTCTCATTGCAAGCTGAGTTATTTTGCTCTGTTTTAACTTGTTTTCTGTGGTAGTAAAGTTCTAGCACTGAACTTCAGGTTGAAGAATAGCAGGATCTTTAGAGAAAAGAGTATTTCAACTAAAAGAAATGGCAAAGTTGAAAGCTTGGTGCGTCTTGTGTAAACCAGGCTGCATATTTTGGAGGAGGGAGGTACAGAGATAGCAGGCAAGTTAGGCATATGGCATTGGTTCACATGCTAGGAACTGTACCCTAATTTTGGGAGTTGGTAGTAAGGGTAGATTAAGGAATCAAAATGTAGAACAGATAGAGTTGTGCTGCTAGAATAAATACATGGTAGTGACAAGAACAGGCTAAAATTGTTGGTGGTAAATATAAGATAGTGAAATGTCAGTGTGCAGTTCATTGTATTGATATCAGATGAACAGCCTGGAAAGTCAACATATTGTAGGGAAGCAGGATATGCAGTTGTTTTGAGTATGTGATCTTATTTTATCAGATTCTAAGTTAGCAAGTTCAGAAAGAGTAAATATCTTTGATAAGGGCAGAAGAGGTTAATTCTTCTCAACTTGGTAGAGAAAATTATTTTCTCAATGGTGATTTGATTAAACTTACACACTGAGCTATGCATACATACTATAGCCATGTATCTTTTATTTTTGGTGTTTCTGTTTTTATTTGTATTTTTGGTGGGCTGAGGATCAAACCCATAGCCTTCTATATATTACCCAAATGCTCTGCCATTGAGCTACATCTGTAGCCTTGCCTCTTATCTCTTTAATAGGTAATTAGAGTACCCATGGAGTGCTTTACAGCAGCAAAGACAGAATCCATACTATATGTTTTTCCCTTTGGTACAGGAATTACATTTTGAACTTTTTGCTCCCAACTGTCTCTGAGCCAGGAAGAGGCAGGTGAGAGCAGTTATGATAGTGCCCTCTTCAGGTTCCCATCAGTACTGGCTGCCCTGGGTTTGCGTGCATGGACATAAAGAGTATTTAAAGGATTTTTGTTTGATATAGAAGTACATCCAGGAAGCCAGGAATATGGGCAGCACCATCCGCCAGCCCAAACTATCCAACCTTTCTCCATCAGTCATTGCTCAGACCAACTGGAAGTTTGTAGAGGGTCTGCTGAAGGAGTGCCGCAACAAGGTAAGCCATGCGTGGTGCTGTGCGTGTGCCACTTCCTTCCCTGGGCAGCAAACAGGAGACCACACTTAGCTCTCACCACTCACTCCCTCTTGATTTAAAAAATGCTAGTAGTATAATAGATAGCATTAATTTTAAGATCATCTGGACTTAACTGTATTTGTCTTAAATAACATATACCAGTAATTGAGAGAAGCATGTTTTGCCTTCTTCTATAAACTTATTTTCTTTACAACAGAGTTTCGCTGGGGATTTAGCTCAGTGGTACAAGTGCCAGCCTGGCAAGCGTGAGATCGTGAGTTCAGTCCTCAGCACCAAAAAAAAAAAGGAAGAATATCACCATTTTTAGGGCAATTCAGCTAATTTCATCTCTGTTACATCCAATTTATCAATTAAATAAAAAGGTTTTCTTGATTTTTCAGTTTTTAGGTGGTACCCATTTATAACGTTAAACAGTACTTATTTGTAGAAGGAAGTAAAATATTTTTCATATAGAAGTAATTTTTACTGTTAGATTATTATATCAAGGTTGATATTTTAAAATTTCTGTCAGTCTACTCAGAATCTTTGATGTCTATAATTTTCTGTAGTGTTGTCTTTTCTGCTGTCATGAATACTGGTGGTGCTGCACTTCTTTCTTTTCCTTTTTTTCTTCCATCCTGTCTCTCTCTCTTCTCTCTCTCTCTGTCTCTCTCTCTCTCTCTCTCTCTCTGTCTCTCTCTCTCTCTCTCTCTCTCTCTCTCTCTCTCTCTCTCTCTCCCCTCCCACTCCCTCTCCCTCTCCCTCTCTCCTCTCTCTCTCTGTCTCTCTGTCTCTCTGTCTGTCTCTCTCTCTGTCTCTCTTTGTCTCTCTCTGTCTCTGTCTCTCTCTCTGTCTCTCTCCCCCCTCCCACTCCCTCTCTGTCTCTCTCTCTGTCTCTCTTTGTCTCTCTCTGTCTCTCTGTCTCTCTCTCTCTGTCTCTCTCCCCCCTCCCACTCCCTCTCCCTCTCTCCTCTCTGTCTGTCTGTCTGTCTGTCTGTCTGTCTGTCTCTCTCTCTCTCTCTCTCTTTCCAGGATTTCATTCTGTAGTTCAGGCTGGCCTGAACTCACCATGTAGCCCAAGCTGGCCTTCAACTAGTGGTGATCCTCCTGTGGCAGCACTACCATGTCTAGCTTCACATTTCTTGAAACAATGCTCTGCTGTTGTGTGACATTCATGCTCAAGTTTTGGGGTACATGCTCAGGCAGTGAAACTTCATGTCTCCACTGCCTACCTAAAAAATGGCTGTGAAAGATACACCATTTTCAGATATGCTGCTGTGGGGAAATGTGAGTCTTAGAGTTAAAGAAATACAGTAAGCAGTCTAACACCACTAAGTTTGGCTTACATGTGAGGCAGTAGAAGGGCTTATACTGTTGGTAGTGTAAGTTGATATAACCACTGGAAAACAACATAGCATTATCTAGTAATTCTTCTATTAATTTTCCAGGAAGAATTCTCCTAGGCATAGTCCCTAAAGAAACTTTTATAGGTGTGTCCTAGGAGATACATGCAAGATACTCAGAACAACATTTGTCTCAGTTACTTTTCTCTCTTTATTGAAACAAAATACCTGATGCCCAAAGTGAAGCAGGGGAAGGTTTATTTCATACAGTTTTGGGGGTTTCAGTGTATATTCAGCTGGCTCCAAGTGGCAAGATGGCATGGTGGGGCAGCCTTTCATGGCCACCCCTGCAGCAAGTGCAAACCTGGCAAGAGATCGAGAAGATGTACCTTCTTCCCCAGCACCATATGCTGGCTCCAACCCTGGGCGAGTGTAGCATTCATACCCCCAATCTGAGTGCTAGGCAATGAACCAATCACAAATGCTAGATTTGGACATATCCATGATTGCCTGAGGCCTGGGTGGAGTGGCCATCTGAATATAAACCATAACAACATCCTTTGTAATACCATTTGTTTCTCAAACTGAGAAAAACCAAAGACCAATCTGTAGAAGAGTTAATACATTGTGATTTATTCATTTAGTGGAATGGTATATGGCAGTGGAACTGCACAAGTTTTTATTTCATAAACATAATTTAGTTGAGTGAAAAGTAAATCAAAACAGTATGCAAGCAAAACTGACCTATATTGCTTAGTGATACAAATATATGTGGTAATCATTACCTTGCTTTTCTATAGTTTCATTCTATAAGTCACTTAAAGTGGAAGGTGATTTGAAGGGAGCATATAAGTTGCGTAAAAGGTATACACAGTGTTTTATTTCTTACCTGGGTCTGTCTCTCTGTCTCTGCCCCTACAGTGTGTGTAATATATTTTATGTCTTATACATTTATAGTAACACTGGAAAGAAATATGCCAAAATATTAAGAATTGTTGCTTCTTTAAGCTAGTATGAGGGGTGATTTTTCTTCCTCCTTTTTTAGAATTTTGAGATCTTTTTTTTTTTTTTTTTTTTTTGTACCGGGGATCGAATTCATGACCTTCTGCTTTGCCAGGCAGGTGCTTACACCACTGAGCTAAATCCCTGGCCCTGCTTTTTTAGAATTTTGTATGTCATAGATTTATATATAACTAAATTTTATTTAAGAACTTGAATTCAAGATTCTGCAGATTTGGGTTCAGAAGCCAGATCTGCTGAGTATATGATTTTTGGTGTATGGTTTTTGGACAACTTACTTAAGTTTTTGGCCTCAATTTCCTCATCAATAAATTGACTATGACAGTGTTTATCTTTAGGATTGTTAGGAGTCTTAAACAAGATAATGTAATGCTTAGAACAGAGCCTGACAGATATTTACTAAAAATAGTGACACATTTAATGTACAGTTTATGTTCTTTTTATTAGTTTTTACAGTTTGCATTGGAAGATTTTTTATCTAAAAGTAAATTATCTTTTTTGATTGATTATTTCAAATATATTTCTAGGTCATATGTATGTTTGCAAGTTTGTTCAATAAGATTATTTAAACAATGATAATCAGGATATCAGAGATGAACATGACCTAGGTTTTTATTTGTATCTTCATCTCATAAATGTAAAATCTGAATAGCATGTGATGATATCACTTTCCAAAGGTCAAATGATGATTCTTGTGTTCTCATCTTCTCAATGAACCTTTTAAAGCTTGCATTCCCCACAACCTGACCTGTATGGGTACAAAGTCCTCTGTCCCTGCAGCCTTCCTCTTGTCTCACCCAGCCTAGCAGATGTGCTATGCAGGCCGCCACTGCTCTTGCATAGCGTGTGGTCCTGCTCACTGTGGTTGTCTCTCCTACTGACTATTTCTAGACCAAGAGGATGCTGGTGGAGAAGATGGGCCGTGAGGCTGTGGAGTTAGGGCACGGGGAAGTGAACATCACTGGTGTGGAAGAGAACACCTTGATCGCCAGCCTCTGTGACCTCCTAGAAAGGATATGGAGTCACGGGCTTCAGGTGAAGCAGGTAATGGATGTCTGGCCTTTCTCTATTAAGCAAACTGCTTCATGGTTTCACATACTATCCCCCACACACCTTTTCTTCAACTGGCTGGCTCTGAAGAATGTCTGCAGTGCTCGTAGAATGAGACTTGATGTCACTGAAGAAACAAATGTGATCCAAATGATTTTTCTTAAAAATAAGCTTTATAGAGCCAGGGATTTAGCTCAGCAGCATAAAAGCTTGCCTGGCAACCACAAGGTCATGAGTTCAATCCCCAGTACCACCCCCCAAAAAAACTTTATAAATCTGAGTTAGTTAGACTCTGAAAATTAGATCTTTTTTTCCTGCAAGTGCCATTAAAGACCAGCCTAACAGGTCTTGTTTAGAGTTGGCCCTTGTCTAAAGATAGTACAGAGAGAAAACTGGAACTTTGGAGGTACTAGGACCCTTCATTGTACATGGATAAAGCTCTGTCATTGAGGTTTTTTGTTTTTGTTTTAGTTTTTTTGTTCTTTGATAAAGACATGGTTTAACCATCTAAAGATTTAAGAGAAGTACGTAAGAAGACTTTTACTACTTAATACCCAGAAAATGTCTTTCTTTTATTTCTTTTAGGATCGGGTTTCACTGTGTAGTTCAAGTTGACATTGAACTCACTGTGGAGCCCAGGCTGGCCTCAAATGCAGGCCAGTGCTCCTGCCTCAGCTTCCTAAGTATTAGAATTACAGGCAAGTGATACCACACCCAATACTGTGTTTTCAACTGTTGGTCAAGATATAGATATCTTTTATTATTATGTATTTTTACTTTTTTTAAAAAATTAAAACAGAGTCTCACTGTGTAATTCAGACTGGGCTTTAAATTCACTGTGGAGCTCAGGTTGACTTGAGATGATCTTCCTGCCTCAGTCTCCTGAATGCTTGGATTATAGGTGTGCTCCTTAAGCCACAGCTATTTTTATGTATTTTTAAATTAGAAAGGAACTAATTTTTGAATGGTGGTTTGTTTTTGTTTTTTGGTACCAGGGATTGAACTCACAACCTCGCGCTTGCCAGTTGAGCGCTTATACTGCTGAGCTAAAATTTCACACCCACTGTGATAACTAAAATAGACAATAACAAATATTGCCAAAGATATGATAAATTGGAACCTTTAAACAGTTAGTAGGAATGTAAAATGGTATAGTCACTTTAGGAAACAGTCTAGCAGTTTCTCAGAATGTTAAACAGTTATTACTTTCCTGTCACAGAACAATTGAAGGGAGAAGAGGTTGATTTTGGTTCATTTTAGTCCGTGGTTGTTGACTCCAAGGCAGAAACAGGATGGCAGGTTGGGCATGGCTTGGTCAGGGAAGATGGTGCTCAACCAGGAAATGGAGAGCAACTGGAGGAGTAGAGGGGAGGCACACTGTTGAGGGACCTGCCTCTTCTGATCAGGCCCCATCTCTGAACAGCACATTCAACTATCAACTCTTTAGCAGATTAATCTGCTGATGAGTGGAGCACTCCTGGGATCCAGTCACCTTCTATAGGCCTCACCTCTGCACATATGAGATTGGGCAGTGGGGGACATTCTAGATCTAAACACCCAGCAAGCCTACATCCAGATAGGTGCTCCCGAAGTAAAAATATACCTCTTCCCAAAAATGTAAATGCAAATGTTAATAACAGCATTATTCATCATAACTAAAAAGTGGAAATAATCCATATTTGTGTCAGCTGATGATTAAAGTAAATGTGGTACATCCATGCAATGGACTGCTATTTAGCAGTAAAAGTAATGAAGTACAGATACATGGCATAGCGTGGGTGAACTTTGAAAATACACTAAAGCCAGACACAAAAGACCACGTGTTATCCCTTCATATTTATTTATCTGTGTGTATATGTATGTATGTATTTATGAGACAAGGTCTTGCAATATAGTTTAGACTGGTCTTGAACTTACTGTAGAGCTCAGACTAGCCTGGAACTCTCAGTGAGTTTCCTGCCTTAGCCTCTTGAGTGTGAGTGTGCTACCAAGCCTCGCTTTATACCTTCCCATTTAAATATAGTGTCCAGAATAGACAAATTCATGATAGAAAGTAGATTAAAGATGGCTAAAGGTTTATAGCAAAGAAAGATTGGGTAGTGAGTGCCTGTGTGTATGGGATTTCTTTTGAGAGTAATGAAAATTTTATAATACTAGTGGAAATAGTTACACAACTTTGCAAATATACTAAAAATCAGGTTTTATGGGGGTACAGAAAATGGTACATGTGAGTGTGAGTTTTATAGTAACATGACATATCTCAATATGGCTTTTTTTTTTAAAGCCAGACAGAATTAAACTACAGTTAATATTTTGTAACTTGCTTTTTTATGTTTTTGTGTGTGTGTGTCTTAACCAAGTTTTTAGGTCATTTAGACTATTTCAGACCTTTCATTATTATTAAAAAAGACTGTGATTATGAAGTTGTAAAATCTTAAAAATTGTATATTGAGTCTCTAAAATTTTGAGAGTCCTATTGTGTAATGCAGGATAATACACTTTGAGCTTTGGGTCAGAAAGAATTGGCTTTGGATCCCAACTCAAGTGGAAGACTTTAAATAAATGTCTTATAATTTCTGAGCCTTGTCTTCTAAATACATAAAAGATAGTTAATAAAATCTACCTCACAGAGTTGGTGTGATAACTAGATATAACATGTGGTGAGTATATAACACATGACAGCTCTTATCATGCTAGATGTACTTGAAGAATTTCCTTTTCTCTGTAACAAGTGAGTAGAATATACTTAATCTGTTTGCCATTTTTCTTAAAATTTAGCAAGATTGGCAGTATAGTTGAACTCTTTCAGATTTTTGATAAGGTAATTACCCTAAAACTTTAATATTTACCATAAACATCTCTAAGGAGAAGCCAGCTACAGTGGTACATGCCTGACCTCAGCACTTGAGAGGCTGAGGCAGAAAAATTGCTTGAGCCCAGGAATGTGAGACCAACCTTGGCAATATACCAAGATTTTATCTGAAAAAATAAATCTCTAGGAAATTAGTGAGCCTTGTTTCTGCAGTTTGAAAAATAGTACCATATCATTACATGTTCCAAAATTGTCCTCTGAGGCTTTGCAGCAATATTCTTCAAAATTTTCACAGCATGGGGAGTTTCTTTTTGCTCTATTGATCTCTCTTCATTGTGGCTAGACAGGCAGCTGCTTTGATGAGAGTCCAGTGCAGAACAATTTACAGAAGGTTCTATTTTGTTGAGTGCTGGATTTTAGAGCTCCAGATGTGAAGCAGTGCCAATCTCACTAGAGGACAGTGGGGTCTTGTTTTCCTGGCAGGACTTTCATGGCCTCAGAGATGTGTGTCCAGCTGGAGATTGAGTCTGTGTCAAGGTTGCACCACCGTATTCCCACACCTCTATTTTGCTAGCTGTGTGCAGATGCTGAAACATGCTTCAGTTATGTTCCAATCCAGGGGATGCTTGCTCTCTATTGTGGACCCAGATTGTGACTAAATTCATTCCCAGTGTGATCATACTGCTCCCATCTGGGGCACCTTACTAAGCAACTACATATGTTATCCCCTTAGAAACTAGCACAAATGACAGGTTTTGCTAATGACTTTCTGTATTTTCTTGGTAGCTTTAACTGGTTGCAGACGCAGCTGTCTGTAGCAAGTCTTTATAAGATCTCATTATCCTTCCTTACTACTTCTTTCATTGGAGATGAGCTTCCAGTGCTTGCATGTTTTTCTGCTGTTGGAGGTGAGATTTGGCTTTTCACACTGGTTTTTTAACTGTTGTAATTGAGGGACTGGTATTTGAAAAGGAGTTTCTCATCTTTTCATGCTTATGATGATGTTGGAGAATCTGGTGCTGTATACTGTGCAGCCATGCCCCTAAAAGAGCAGTCAGGCTGTACTGAACCATGTGGTCCTTGCTAGCAACCTATGCAAGAGAGAATAAATGGTAGCCCCTACCTCTGACGCTTTGGTATTGCTCTTCTTACCACTGTGACTGCTGTGAGCCAAGGGCTTCCTCCTTCTGGCATGGTGTCCTGGCTTTGCTCTTCAGCAGCACTGCATGCAAGGGGTCTCTGGTGACCAGCTCATTTCATGTGTGTCACATTAAATGGACAGTCCCATTAGCTTTCTTCTTGATCTGTCTAGGTGGTGGGGATTCAGAGATGAATAAGACAAGGTTCTTGCCCTTCCAGGAGACTACTTTGTAATGGTTTTAGTACATACAGGGGTAAATGGATTTCTAGATGTTGAATTATTAAGTCAAAGAGCAAGAATATTTTAAGCTCTTAATTATCTTCTACAAATTTTAATGTACTTTTCTAGTATCAGTGCATGGGAGCTACAAGCCTCATTGAAGTTACTGAAAATTTAGGTTTTCAAATATTTTATATATTGATGAATAAAAATAGTATTTTCTAACTTTTAATTTTATATATTTTTATTATCATTAAAGTAGTTTTGTTTTAAACTGCATAAATCTTGTAAGAAACTCAAACATATAGCAAGCTTATTTGATAGCTTGATAATGTATAGAAGAGACCACCCCCAATTCAGATGTTTGAATTTGTTTTTTGAAATAGAGCAAGTTAGTGAGTAGAAACAAAACAGGTCTTTACTATTTTCATTAGATAAATCTTTAGGACTTCAAAATTTCACATTCATCATAGTGTTTTAAATCTTCACATTCAGTTTGCTCTAAAGAAGTTGGGATATAAGTATGTATCTTGTAGGATTGCTGAGAGTGTTAATTAAAAGATTATATTTTAAATATATATTTTTTTTAATTTAAGGAGGAAAAGGGTGCAAGTAATATAAAATTTAAAAAATAAAAAGTAAGAAATCACTAGTTAATAGATTACATATTCTCATCTTAGAAACAGTTGTTCAAGTTACAAAATTGAAGCACATAAAGTGGACTTTCAAACAGTGAGAGTGCAAACAGTTTTGTTCAATGATCCAAAAAACACTCAGTAATATGGTTATCTATCTTATACACTTAAACATATATGCAGTTATAACCTAAGTGCTTTTCTTTTCTTTTTTTTTTTTTTTGTAGAATGACAATTACACATTTTGGGTTTTATTACTCCCAGAGTTCTTATTACTTTCTTTTGAAGAGAGTAAAACCAAATGCGACATATGAGAACAGAGTCAGTCAAATCAAAAGGATGGACACAATAGATAATGAATGTAAAAACAAAATATAAGGTGATCAACAATGGTTACCATACTGCCTCTTGCTATTTTAAGAAGAATTGACAGTTATAATAAAATTGAACTAAACAGGAAAGAATAAAACCAAAGCATTGGAGACATTACAGGATTTTAAAAGAAAATAATAGTCAATCAGAATGGGCGTCATAATGATTCTAATTGTCTTCACAGTTATGCCTATACTTTCGATCTTGGTACTATCAAGCAAAGCAGAATAGAGGAAAATCAATCAAAACAAGATGGTGAGGGCAATACAGTTAATAGGAAATCAAAGTAGGTTACTATAATGTATCCTGCTATTTTTTATTTATTTTTCCCTTAATTAAAAAAATAAAAAGAAAAAAGTAAATAATTAAAAAGGGGGGGATTGAGATAAAAGAGGGCATAACAACAGAACAGTGCAGGTCAAATCATAACCATTTAAGCAAACCAGTGTTTCACCACAAGATATCCTGACATAAAAATAGTTACTATAGTGTCTCTTTCCTTGAAATCTTTGAGTATAACTTCTTATACTGTAGCACCAAACATATCATGACACTATAAAACCATTCAAGAGAATGACATTACAGGGTATTTAGAACCAATTGACAGAAAATGAACAATGGTTTCTATATAAACTCCTTGTCTATAAAAGTTTTTGCTTATATTATCATAATATAATAAAATCCAATAAGATACAACCTTTTAAGACCAATGGAGACTGAAGAATACACGTTTGATGGGACTTCAAAACAAGGTGATACTAAATCAGCACTAGCTATTATGTCTTGTTTTCTCCAAAATTGCTGTTCCTACCTTCCGATCTTCTCTGCCTCATTTCTGTTGAGCTCTTTTTCTGTCGTTTGTTGTCAGTTTGTCATTCTTCATTTCATTTTCTGTTCCATTCATTGTGGCCTCTCTGCCACTATTTCTGGAATCTTGGTATTTTCTTTTTTTAGACTATCCTGCAGTATTCTCTGTAGAGTTGAATTAGTGGTTGCAAATTCCCCTAGTTCCTCTTTATCCTGGAAGCACCTTGTTTTTCTATCAATTTCTAGGGACAGTTGTGCAGGATATATCAATTTTGGCTGGAGGTTATTATCTTTCAAAGCTTGAATTATTTCCCCCCACTGTCTTTGTGATTTGATGGTTTGTGCTGAGAAGCCTGCTGTAATTCTGATGGGTGTTCCCTTGTAAGTGATCTGTTTCTTGTCTCTGACGGCTTTTAATATTCTGTTCTTTTATTGGATTTCTGGAATTTTGATTATTATATGCCTGGGTGTAGCTCTGTTTAGGTTGTAGGTTGCTGGGGTACTGTATGCCTCATATATCTGAGTATATTTGCCATATTAGGGAAATTCTCTTGGATTATTTCTGTGAATAGCTTTTGTAGTCCATTTGTTTGTGTCCCCACTTCTTCTCTTATGTTCTTAATTCTTAAGTTATAGATCCTCTTATCATCTTCTAGTTTTTGTATTGTTGCTGTTTGTTTTTTTGTTATTTTTAAGAAGTTTTTCATTTCATGCTCTCATATTACAAATCTGCCCTCCAGTTCAGATAATCTATCCTTAGTTTCTTTCAAGCTGTTATGCCATTTTTCAGAGTTTTTAGTTTCCTGGTAATCTCTTTGAACCTGTTTCATGTATTCTATGTTTTCTCTATCTTCTCCATCCAACAATTCTCCCCTTTTTTTCTGTTCTTCCATTCCACCATCTGTTTTTTCTTGGGCGGTGCTTAGCATTTCTCTAACTATTCTGCTTATGTCTAGCTTCAAGTCATTAATAACTTAACTCCTGAAGTTGTCTATGAGGCTCTGGAGATAGCGCTTTATATCTATTGGCGCCGTGTCTACTATTGCATGTTTCTCAGGATTGGGGGCCGAGGACCCTTTCTTGTTGCTCCCTCTTCCCATATTCTTTGTTCCTTATATTTAAACGTGTATAGGAGGCCTAGCTTCCTTCCCTGTTGGCCACAGTCTGTTTGAATTGTGCTGGATAGGTGTTCCCGCCCACTGCAGTGTACTAGGGAGACACAGACCTGGGCAGCCTATGCCAGGCCTGCCCCTCCAGGTCAACCTACCAAGGGCTTCACTGCTAGGGTGCACCTCCAGGCGCTGGGACCTGAGTTGGGCTAGCCTGTTGGGTCTCAGCCAGCGGAGTCTCACAAGCCAGGCACTCCCCACCAATCCCGCTTGAGAGGGGGATATGTGACTGAAGTCACTGCAGCTTCTCATTCTGGGAAGTCTGCTCAGTCCAAGTATGTCCTCCGCTGAAGCCTCCTTCTCTATGTAAGGGTCTGATTCACTCACTCACTGCAGGTTGATACAGGGCACCCGGCCAGTCCTGCTCCCAACTCCTTTCACTGCTTCCCACTCTCTGAGCTTTCGCGCCTCTCTCCTTGCTGTGCCTACCAGTATGCAACAGCAGCTGCAGGTAATTCAAATTGCAGTTTCCAGTGGTGCGAGTCCAGCTTCTATGCTGAGACCTTATCTGTGCCTGCTGTCTCACCAGGATTGCGTTTCCAGATGGTTTCTCTTAATTTAGTTCGTTCCTGGGTCAGCAAAGAATATCCCCCCTTGCCTGGGACTTCTTGTCCGGCACCATTCCTGGATTTCAAGTGCGGTTTCTCCGAGAACCTCCAAGGCTGCTGCTGTCTATCTGCCATGTTCTTCCAGAATCCCTATATTTTAAATATTTAACATGGTACTTAATAATAAGCCTTGAGTTTGGCCTGGAGGTGCACACCTATAATCCTAACACTTGGAGGCTGAGGTAGCAGGATGGCAAGTTTGACCCAAGCCTGGGTTAAATTTAGTAAAACCCTGTCTCAAAACAAAAGATTAAAAAAAATAAGGTCTGGGTATGTAGTTTAATGTGAACACCCCAGTATGTCCAAAAAAAAAACCCACAATAAAACACAACAATCCTTTGACTGAATCTAAAATAAAATTTTTATCATTTAAAAAGAATCATGATATACTAAAGGATCATTAGAAAGAGCTGAAGCATCTGGGTATAGTGGCACATGCCTATAGTCCCAGCTACCTGGGATGTAAAGGCAGGAGGATCAAAAGTTCAAGCCTGAACAACATGAGGAACCCTCATTAAAAAAAAAGACAAAGCTGGGTTGTGTATTGCCTGGGGTTCTCTGGGGGAACCAAATCGATAGAAGAAAAGTATGTTAAATGATGCAAGGGGACTTATTAGCTAGGCTTACAGGAGTAGAGGTCTCTGTGTTGGAGTCTCTGTGTTGGAGACCAGAGGATCTAGTAAGTTGCTCAGTCCAAGAAGTTGGAAGTCACAGAACAAGATGGATCAAGGATGCAGCACTAGTTCAAGACCAAATGAAGACCTGAAATCTGTCTGGAGAGTGGCTGGTGTGAGTCCATGTTTAAAGGCTGAAGAGTCTGATATCCACAGACAATGGCATTGGCGAAAACACACACACACTCAAGCAGAATGGGCTTTTCAAACCAGCCTGACTTTCTCCTTTTTCCTCCCTTTTCATTCTATCTGGGCTGCAAGCCTATTAGAATGACGCCATCCACAACCAAGATGGGTCTTCACCTCTTGGTTTGCTGGTATACATTCCAGTCATCTCTGGAGACACCCCACAGACATGCCCAGATGTGTGCTTTATCAACCTGTTAGGCATTTAGGCATTTATTAACCCAGTGTAGTTGACAGTCATGATTAATGGCCACAGGTGGCCACCTGGACTCATTCATTAAAGGATGACTTGCTCTGTTATGTCAGGCTTGCAAATGCTATTCAGATTTATGCTTTGGCAAAAATGACAAATTGCTTTGTATTTCACATAGTTTAAATTGAGCTCTTACATTTCCAAATGGCAAGGTACGGTTATATTGAGTATAGTTTATCTAAGCCTTGCCAGTAGGTAGCAGCCTACCTTTCTGCAGGCTTCCCCAGCTGTACTGTTAGTAGTAAATCCTCATTATAGTGATAAATCAGCCTCTCCAGCTTGTATTAAGAGCAGGGATGCCTTTACTTTAGGAAATTTAGACACTTTCATAGAATCTCATAGACTGGATATGAAACCCTTCTCTGCCCAGGCTAGCCTTCACCCACCTGATAGGTTATTTGCCTTTTTCTTTCTTGTGGTCCCTTCCCAACCCATCTTGGACAGCTCTTTCCTATTCTCAGTGGAGAACCATTGCTTTCTCTATTCCTTTGCAGTTTTTATATTTTTCCTGTATTTTAGTAAGGGCGTATTTTGTATAAATTTTGTGCCTGTGAGATTGAAACAAGAAACAGTACAGATACTTTTCAGCAGTATCTGAATGTTGAAAGCTTTGGCCTCTAAAATCCAAACTAACTTCTCTCACTTTGATTGCAGGGGAAGTCAGCTTTGTGGTCTCACCTGTTACATTATCAAGAAAACAGGCAGCGAAAACTTGCATCAGGAAGCCTCAGTAGCTCGGGTAAGATGATCCTGCTGCACCCCTGCAAAGAAATTAGTCTCAGTCTACTTGGCCATCCCTCACTGAAGTGATCATCTATAGCAGACTGTTCCAGGCCAGAGGAGTCTTTGCTCTCACGTGCTTTCTGTTATAAACATAAAAGCTCCCTGATCCGAAGAGCCTTCCAAAGGCATAGAGTTTGCTTTCATTATGATGTGCTTCTATATCCTTTCAGTCATCAGGATAGAAAAATAATAATCAGAAGGCCAGTCTTAGAATGAATTTGGGCTTATTGTGATGTTCTTGTCCTGTGTTTGTCTATGAAGCTATTTTTAGAATCTTTCTTTGACATAAGCATTGACATTACTGTATCTACCCTTTGAGTCAAGTCATTCTCCTTTCTTGGAACTCAAGGGGCTTGTGTGAATGATCTTTTACAGTTCCTTTCTGTATCTAATAAAAATTTCTGTTTGTAGAGACTTCAGAGATCATTTAGTCCAACCCCTTTATTCTATAAGAGATGAGGATCTAGATGAGATTCAAATTTATATAAGATCATGAAGTAAATTATTTGAAGAAGCCAGATTAGTAGCAAGGTTCATTGTCTCCTCTTCTAGTGTTTATTTTCTTCTGTTTTTCAGTACTGGGAGGTTGAACCCAGGGGTTTTACACTGTGGTACTATGACTTTTACAACCCTTTTTATTTTATATTTTGAGACAAGGTCTTGTTCAGGTTTGACATCCTTCAGCTTCAACCTGCCAGAGTTTTTCATTGTTCTTCATACCATCCTGTTGCATCTCTTCCATGACAGTTTCCCTCTGTCTTTTACTTCATGGCTGCATCTCCCTTTCATACTCTTTTGTTGTCTCTTCTTTGCTACAGTTTGTTTACTTGGATATTCTTACCCTAATGGTATAAGGTTAAATAGGATGAATAAATGGGTGTGAACTCTTCGCTCTTGAACTAGTTAACCTCAGTACTGGATTTGGGCGAACCATCAGTTGAAAACCAGGGACAAGAGTTTCCTATGCAGCTTTATGAGGATTTAGCAGGGGTGGGTGAGGTGGGAGGGCTGCTTTCTCCATGTGAGAGCAGAGACTTCACAAGATTATAGAAATTATTTCTGAGGGATAAACTGTAACCCAAAATCCTCCGCTTGGTGGTGAAAATAGTAATTGTAAACCGTGGGCAAGATGTAAGGGCATGTAGATGTTGCAGCGTTTCAGCCTCCTGGAGGCCTGAGTGCCCTGACACAAGTCCTTCATGTGTTCCCTTGGCTCTTCTGGAGCCAGTTTTGGAGCCAGACTAGGACGTGAATAGCAGCTCCCACCAGAATTTCTGCTTCTGTATATATGATGAACACATGATAGATTGGGATCCTGCATTGTAGTCCTGACTACCAGTTGGTGATCTAGCCAAAGCTACTAAACTCACTGAACTTTAGTGAACCTGCTCTGTTAAGTGGGGTAATTGTGCTTCCTTGACAATCTTAGAAATTGATAGAAAGTTAAATGAAATAATGTACATAAAATACAAAATATGATCTCTAATGAGAATCTAATAAACATTTATGATGTGATTCCTTATTATCAGTATAACCAACTATTTCCCATGGAAACTTGTGATTTGAGTAGTCAGCTGTTTGAATCATCAGATCTCTTTGGACATGACCACTTTTGCTGTTCTAGGAATACTTCTTGATTCAGAACGGAGGAAGTCTGATGCCAGCTCAGTCATGTCTCCCCTGAGGATCTCTTTGATTCAGGATATGAGGTCAGTCTGGGCTCATATATAATAGGCCATTAAAATCCTGTTTTCGTTTGTCACTTTGGTGTCCACTTAAACAGGATCTCAGGGGTTGTTACTGAATCACAGCTTTTAGGAATTCCGTCTTACTTTTTTCATGCTTTTTGATACATTTGTCAAAATGGTTTCCTGGCATTTTTGGAGAACTACATCAGGTAAAGAAGCATAGGGCTCAGGGATAAGGCCCAGGGCTCAGGGTTAGCCTCATTTTTTGAAGGCTCTATTGTCTTTTTCCTTCAAATTCTGGTGAACTTGTCTGGTAAGGCAATATTGAAGCCCAAAATTTAGAAAATAAGATAGATGGACTCTCAGCAAGTAGCATAGGGTTTCCTTTCTAGGCCCCATTGCCTTTTCAGGTGAGATAGTGGTAGTGAGTTCATCTCCCATCCATACTCCACTTGATTTTTTGGTTTTCTTTCAGGCACATCCAAAACATTGGGGAAATCAAGACTGACGTGGGGAAGGCCAGAGCATGGGTGCGATTGTCCATGGAGAAAAAGTTACTTTCCAGACACTTGAAGCAGCTTCTCTCAGAGCATGAGCTCTCCAAGTAAGACCACTCCACTTACCTTGTTTTGAAACTCTGTATCACTGTTTTTATTGTTTTTATCTCTTTTAAAAATAACTTTTGGACTTGACAATAAATAAAAACAGTGATACAGAGTTTCAAAACAAGATAATAGATTAACAGTGCTTAATATATACATATTTTTATCTTCAAAATAGTTGTTCAGATTATAAAATACAGGCATAGAAAATTAAACAATTGTATTTCAAGAAATGCAGATTAAAAGGAATGGACTTTGGAAAAAATTTGGTGTAAGGTAATTGCTCTAAAGATCTGATTTTATCCAAAGTAAACTAATGTTTAGACTGTTTATTATGTGTGTGAAATATAGCAGTAAACCAGGTTTAAAGTCTTGATTAAAAATTAGAAAGCTCACCTGAGAAGTTAGGAAAAGCAATTCTGACAGTGGTTTAATTTGACTCCCTAAAGTGACAAAATTTAGGAGTAAAATCTGAAGATTGGGAAGACAATTGAAAGAGAACAAGTGAACATGGTAGTCAGAGATTGCAAGAGCAAATTTGCATACCAGATTCTAGAGGACCTGAATGTGTCCTGAGAAAATGTGTCATTGTAGCTGTGTAGGCACCAGGGTCTGATAGGATGTGGGTCATTCCTGTTGGCCAGGTGAGTGTCACCTGTCAGGAGAGGTTGCAGTCAGTAGGAGGCAGGTGGAAGGGGTAACACAAGAACTTTCTGAAGGCCAGGACGTGGTTGTGTCTAATGTGCATGAATTTAAGGGACTTGGCAACAGCACATAAAACTCAGGAAGCTGATCTTGTTTTCTTTAAAACTGTAGTCCTGTCAGAAGATACAAGCTCAGTTTATTCAGTACATAGTATCTTCTCACCTGATAGTCTGACTCCTGTGCTACTCCAGTGAGTGGGAAATGAGAGTTTCGCTTCTATAGATTGCAGTTTGAGGGGATACAATATAGGAAAGAGAAAGGGAACTCCTTCGGGTATCACCTTGTTTTGTGTTGCCATAGAGTGCTGTGTACTTTATAAAGAAAAGAGGTTTCTTTAGCACACAGTTTGGGCGGCTGAAAGTACAAGATTAGGCAACTGCATCTGTTTGGCATTTAGTGAGGGTTTCCTTGGCTATATCACAGTGTGGTGGAGAAATGCAAAGGAAAACAGTCACAGGCAGAAGGGACACTGAGGTAGCCTTGCCTTACAACAATCTGCTCTCATGAGAACTCACCCATGAGACCAGCATTCATCTCTTCTGGGGATGGTGCCCTGTGGTCTAATGACCTTTCAATTAGGCCTTATCACCCAAAGATTCTGTCACATTGAGCTTCCAGCATCTAACCTTAGACAACACACTCAAATCATAGCAACCTCTGCCCTATATCCTCTCATCTTTCCCCCCAGTTTGCTTAGAACTCAGCCCTATCATACCATTCATTCTTTTGAGGATGTCTTCAGCCCTTGTCTGTATTTCTGTATGACCCCAGTCCCTGACCTCTCCTCACTTGTTCAACCTCTTGAGGTCAGTCATAAATTTCTGCCAACTTTTTCTTAGCAATGTGGTCCATTTCTGCTATAGGCATGCATAACGTTTATTATAGTATTGTTTTACCACTGATATGCCATAGTTATCAGCTTGGTGGTTATTAAAATGTGGTTTTTATTGAGGGCATGTACCTTTTCCAGTGCTGAGCATGCTGCCTGACCCTTAGTAAGGATTTAGCCAGTACACATAAAATACATGCATAGCTGTACAGACAGGTGGAGAAGAGCCTTCAGAGAATACATTTTGATAGCATGTTCTGGAGTCTCTAGCTCCAGCTAGCTTCTAAGAAAGACTGCAACTTGGAGATGGAATAAGGTGAGGTGTAGAGTAAGGGGGCCAGATATTCATGGAACTCATTGAACTGCATGTCCTAAAGGAACAAATTAGGTAGCTCCTGTATTGGGAACCCAAACTCTTTTTTTTCTTGACTTTTCTGCAGTGACTAATAGTATGTGCAATGTCCCTTTATCTTGAAACTGACATCATATGGCTGTTATGACCTGTTTCCATGCTGTTCCCTTTGTTTTCTTATTCTTTTGGGATATTGGCTTTTACAGCCCTCCATGTTCTGCATGCCACATGCCTTTTCCTTGTCACCTTCCCCTACCCATTCTCATGACTTTTGTCACCTCTTAGCAGGGGACTCCCACTTCTGAAACTTGCAGCTCTGATGATTCTTCTGAGCTGCAGCCCTGCATTTATTTCCACTTAGATGTCTTAGCTGGAGCTTAAAACAAAAGCAAGTTTCATCATGTGTTGACCACAACTGCTTCTCTCTCCAGTTTTGTTAATGTCATCAGTGTTCTCTCTAGACATCCTTCCTCCACTCCTTTTTACCTACATTGCAAATTTGGAGTTCCTTTTGACTTCTTGCTCTGTTTTACTTCTCATATACACATTTTTAGTCCTTAGTTTCTTTTTTTTTTTTCCAGTCCTTAGTTTCTCCTTCACATAGTTCCTTCATTTTTTTCCTGCACTGTTTTAATTTAATTAATTTATTTTGGTAAGTTAAAATGAATTTATTACTGGGCATAGTAGCTCACACTTGTAATTCCAACACTTGGGAGGCTGAGGCAAGAGGATGAGAGTTAGAGACTAACCTGAGCTACAAAGTGAGCTCAAGGTAAGCCAGAACTACATAACAAGACCCTGTATCAAACAACCACACACCAAAACAAGGCATTAATTGTAGTTCACCTAACCTAATGAACATCACAGCACAGCAGCACAGCACATGGCAGTGTACAGGTCATGGGTCCTCTGCGGTGGTGTTGTCTGGCTAGCTGCTGCTATTCAGCATCCTGAGAGGCCCTGCCTTATTTTAGTCTTTATTCCCTCCTTAGCTGCACTAACTTCACATTTTCTGGAGTGGCTCTTGGCTCTCCTTTTATTTCCAAGCAGGCCTCTTTATTTCTAGGCAGGGCAGATTTCAGAACCTGTTACTTAACAGAGCAAGTTGCAGTTTTTAGACTACTAAAAACTTAGGGCCTTAACTTTATTTGATGCTAGTCTAACATTTTAGTTTCATGGCTGACTGAATACTTCCCTGAACCCACAGTCCTAGCCAAACTCATTTCCACACCAGTCCTTTCTCCTGAACAGCATCGATCAAACCTGTGCTATCCTTCAGGCTCCTCTTATTCTAAAACACCTTCTAAGACTGTTAAAACTCATGGTCTTTAAATTACTAGAAAGAATCTTTCATTTGGTAACTCATTATGGGCAGTGTTATACCGTAGTCTTACCCAGCTTATTCACTTAGACTGAATTGAGGCCAGGTGCTTCCCTCTCGAGCACCTAAACTTCATACGCCTTAGCTGGTAAATTACCTGTTGAAGGAACTTTGTAAGTCTATCAAGGTGGACCCTCAGGATCTCCTGACTCCCAGTTCTCTAGGGTTGTAATGTGTCTGGTAATAAAGACAGTTTCTCTGTCTGTCTGTCTGTCTGTCTGTCTCTCTCTCTCTCTCTCTCTCTCTCTCTCTCTCTCTCTTTCTCTTACCTCTGTGCCTCTCTTTATCTCTCTGTCTGTCTCAGTCTTTGTCTCTCTGACTGTGTGTCTCTCTGTCTGTCTCTCTGTATCTTTCTCTGTCTCTGTTTCTATTTCTCAGTCTCTCTGTGTCTCTCTGTTTTTCTTTTTGTCAGTGTCTTCATTTGGACAAGAATGCCATGCAGCTGCAAAAGGCCTAGAATATCAGGGAGAGGGGTTGCCCTTTGAAGAATGTGCAGTGGAGATGAAAGGAGAAATCTTAAAAAGGGAAGGACATGCTCTACAGAGCTCTTCTTTTACCTCTGACCTGGGTCAAAGGCATAAGCAGAAGTCTGCCTGTCATTGCCTCAGAAACTCCTGGGCCTTTCTTTCATCAACATTCAGAGGAGTGTTTGTGACTCATGGCTTTAGCCATGGTAATGAGTGGTGATCACAGACCCCTTGCCATTGCTATTGACATTTTGTACACTGTGACAGCCTGACTAGAAAGCATTAGAGAACCTGTACCATCCATGATGGAAAGCCACCCCCAGTTTAGGAGAAACTCCATAATCTTTCATCACTTTGTGTTACGGTAGTGTCAGCCTTGGGCATAAGGCAGTGTGTGAGTTTTGTTGCTTCTGCCTGGGCTTCACACATTCCTGTTGAACAGCTTGAACCACTGGTGGTACATGCATGACTATCCCAGTGTACCTCTGGTGTACAAATAGATCTAATAATTCTATTGGTCGTTTTATTAATAAAATAAAATAAAACAGTAGGACAGTCATGCATGTACCACCAGTGGTTCAAGCTGCCCAACTGTAAGGCATACATTATGGCCCCATTGTGAACTTGTTAAGCTGCTTTCTCTCTGTTTGAAGAGACCACAAGGAACTTGAGACTTGATATCTTATGCTTCCTTTAACTCTCTGCTCCTAGAACTAGGTAATTATAACTTTCTTCTCTCTTTTTGTCTGGACACTGATTTGTTGCCTTCTCTCCTCCAGAAAGTTGTACAAGCGCTATGCCTTCCTACGCTGTGATGACGAGAAGGAGCAATTCCTCTATCACTTGCTCTCTTTTAATGCTGTCGATTACTTCTGCTTTACCAATGTCTTCACGACGATCTGTGAGTAGCTGTATGCTCCCCGTTGGCCTGCTCAGACCACCATGGTGAACCTGCCCCAGGCTTCCTCACTGTCCCATTTCTAACACATTTTCACCGGCTTGAACCATCAAAGGTGTATGCATGCCTGTCCCATCAGATGGTTTATACCACTATGAGACTATCCGTGCCATCCATTGGGACACTCATGTATGTACCACTGGTGGTTCAGAGTCGTCCAGCAGTGAGACATAGAAATTACAGCCCTGTCATTAACATGTTAAGAAAATAAAATAATGCTTTGTCTGCCTTTCACTTCTGTGAGGAGAAAGCACGAAGCAGCTCCTTCCTTGGAGCTGTATTTGTATTTCCCCAAAAACTTCTTGTTCTTACCTGAGTGGAGAAGCACAACCCTTTTGGCCATCAAATGATCAATGCTGTCCTGGGCACTGCTCTGGGAGCCTCAGGTGATAAAAGTGGAGTAGGTCAGAGTAGGGAGGACAGGTCACCTCTCTCCCTGCATGTCTGTCTGCTGGCCTGCAAGGTTACTTGACACAGATTTTGGAACAGGCCTAAGGGAGAAAGGTCTCTTCCTGAGATAGTAGGAAAAACTCCAGGTGACAGTGGGTTTGAATCCAGACTGGCTTTGTCCCTGACTCATGTATGTCAGCAAGCAGAGTCTACCCCTGCAGTGGGCCTCAGTCTCCTTTTTTGCAGAGTGAGAACGAGGCTTCAGTAGGGTCCCAGGCTCCTCAAGCCTCTTTGTTCTCTAAAGCCAGGATTCTTTAGTGGGTGGGGTAGTTCTTTGGCCAGCCGTTCTGGTACCTCAACTGCATACTCCTGTTTTTTATCTGACACTCATCTTCTCTCTCAGAGACAAGGCTGTGACTTAGTAAAAGTAGCATCAAACTAGAATTTAGAATACCTGGGCATAAGGTTTCCCTCTCTGTGCTGTGAAGAAGAGGTGCAATGTCTGTGTGACCTCTCCTAAGCTGGTTAAGGTTGTCATTAGAGTTCAGAAGATGAGAGATTGAAAAGTGCTGTCAAACAGGTCAGTACAATGTCAGGAGCTGGTGATAACCTTTAAAGAAAGGTTCACTTAGCTCTAATGATTGATGGGCTTGAGTTTTTGGTGTTTGGGCTTTGACCCTTGGAGGAGTGAGGCTGGGAAGGGGATTGGCTAGTACTCTAGACCCTCCAGGGCTGGGGCTGCTGGAGCTGGCCCAGCAAGAGCTGCAGTCATGCCAGTCTTCTGGGCAAGCCAGGCCCCTCAGGTATTTGAGGGGTTCCTCATTCCCCACAATGCCTTTCGTTGCTTTCCTCAAACAGTGATCCCATACCACATTCTCATCGTACCAAGCAAGAAGCTGGGGGGCTCCATGTTCACAGCCAACCCATGGATCTGTATCGCAGGAGAGCTGGGTGAAACACAGATCCTGCAGATTCCCAGGAATGTGCTAGAGATGACCTTTGAGGTGAGTTTTATCTGGGGTCCACAACCACAGTTCTGTTGGAATCTAAGTTGCAACAGCTGTTTGGGGAGTTTCTGCAGGAATTCATGGAGGCCTTGCTCTGCAGTGTTATGTGTCAGAGTGCTGACTTGTCCTGAGATAATCTGAGGCTGGAGCCAAGGGTTGACCTCGAGGAAGGGGAGCCTGCATTTCCCATCCACTCTCTGGCTGGAAGGCATTTCTTTGTCTGGGTTCGCATGCCTCCCTGTGCTTGGTAAATCCCAGAGTCCTGTCAGCTGTTGAGCCCAGGTGTTCCGCTAGACCTCAGTACTCATATCCAGAGCCTCCTACGCCTGGACCGCATTCTTCTGAGTAGCAGGTCTTTTTTCTCAACCACACCCTGCTTAGGAGATAGTGCTGTAGCACCAGCCTGGTGGACCTTTGAGCTCTCTTTCTGCTGATGCTGAGGTCCAGGTGGCAGGCAGCCAGTCAGATTTGTGCCCCCAAGGATTGCCACTCTTTTTATGTTTTTCTGACTGGCCCTATCCTCTGTCTTCTCTCACAGTGCCAGAATTTGGGAAAACTTACTACTGTTCAGATTGGCCATGACAACTCTGGGCTGTATGCCAAATGGCTTGTGGAGTATGTAATGGTCAGGAATGAGATCACAGGACATGCTTATAAGTAAGTGTTCCCCTTCTTGTGCCCTGCAGTGGTGGGGCAAATTATACCTCAGGGGCTGTCTTTGAAGCTTGTAGATGTACGTACTCCAGGATCCTTAGTGATTGGCTGAGGCAACTTCCTGTTGGTTCTCTTCATGCACTAGAAAAGAATCAGAAGAAGAATTCCAAAGTCAAGATGTGATATATTGTTGTGCTTCGGTCTCAGGCCACCCATGCTATTCAGGTGGCTTCTCTGATGATGGGATGGTAGCATAACCAGGGCCTCAAAGGAGTTCCAGCATGATTTTATAGCTTCCCCTTAGGGAACTTTATTAATGGCTCTTGTTGAGCAACAGAGAGACAAAGACATTGGAGGACCTGGAAATTCTGATGGGACTTTGCCTACCTTTAGGTTCCCATGTGGCCGGTGGTTGGGAAAAGGCATGGATGATGGAAGCCTGGAGCGGGTCCTGGTTGGGGAGCTGCTCACATCCCTGCCTGAGGTGGATGAGAGGCCATGCCGGACCCCACCACTGCAGCAGTCCCCTAGCGTCATCCGGAGGCTCGTTACCATCTCTCCTAACAACAAGCCCAGTAAGCTGGGGGGCGGGGGGGGGGGGGAATCGTACTTAATGCCACTCAGCTAGGAGTGGACAGGTCTCTGGGGGCCTTCATCCTGTGCATCTGCCCGAGGGACCACCTCTGCTGACAGACCGCCAAAGAGATTCAGCACTTTCTTCTTACGGGTTGGTGATAGTATGTAGCACTCTCCTCAGAGGCCTGGGAGGAGAGCAGGAAAGCTCATGCAGCCCAGGCTGGTGCTTGTTATGATCTTATAGAAGAAAGGGGCCTACTTTCTGGCCTTCTCATTCTGATTTTTAGGCTTCACAGTCAAGTCTTGGCTATATATTGGTTGTCAGCATTTCTTAGAACTCTTAAGTATTAACTTTGGCTTTCCCTCCACTATTTTGGGAAGGGCTATTTCAACAAAGTTGAGTGGGCAAAAGTCTCTGCTTTCTGGAGTCTTGCTGCCCTATGCATCCCGTTAGGCTTTCCTCCTTGTATCATTATTTCCTACACAGTCAGTCAACTAAGCACTCGGAGATTGATGTGGATGTCTGCTTGATTTTTATTAGAGCTGAACACTGGGCAGATCCAGGAGTCCATTGGGGAGGCAGTCAATGGCATTGTGAAACACTTCCATAAGCCTGAAAAAGAGGTGAGCCTTCCTGCCCTCCAGTCCAGGGTCTCAGGTTGAGTAAAAGGGAATCTTGATTTTGCACTTTCCTTCCTGGGCTCTCCAGGTCCATGTGCTGTGGATAGCCAGAGCCTGGTAGATCTGTGCCTCAGTAGTTGGGGCTGGAGCCAACTCCTTCCTCTGGGGCCCCTTGCCTCTCTGGTTCTCTGTTTTCTTCCACCTTGATGACACAGTGGGATCTCCAGGCTCCCCTGGTAAACATGCTGATTCTTGACTCCCTCTAGACTGCCTGGTCCCTGTGAACAGTGGCTGTACTGGCTTTAATTCCTCCTGGTAGGGAATCTTCTTGCGTGTGACCTAGATCCATTGTTGTTCCTTACCTATTCCCTTGCAGCTATTTTCTGAGAGCTGCTCTGAATCAGAATGCATTGTGCCAGGTTCTGGGGAGCAGGGATGATCCTTGCAGTCTTTTGCCAACTCTGGGCTGTGATTTGGGGATGCAGTGGTGGGAGACAACTCAGTTGAGACCAGCTTGTTACTCACCCCTGTTTCCTTGCTTAGCGAGGCAGTCTGACACTGTTGCTTTGTGGAGAATGTGGGCTTGTCTCAGCCCTGGAACAGGCTTTCCAGCATGGATTTAAATCACCCCGGCTCTTCAAAAATGTCTTCATTTGGGATTTCCTGGGTGAGTTGGATGAGGGTATAAAGGTAGGAAAAATGTGGGGCAGGGGGTTCCCAGCATGGCATGGACTCTGACCACTGGGGCCTGAGTGCAGAATCCAATTGGATGACTTTTAGATCTGTTGTTTGTTCTGGTTTTATTTGCTGGAAATGACAGGAGCCCTCTTCCCCCTTCTCAGTGAACCTTTACTGAGACCTGGGAAGAGAAGATTCTTTCTGCTCTTATCCAGCATGGGCTTAATCCTGAGTCTCACTTCCACTTTGCTGATCCAGAAGGCCAGCTGAGAGGGGTGGATCCCAAGCTCCATGTATGGTATCCACTCAGAGAACTTTTATGGGAAAAGCCATCCCCAGCGCTTTCTTGTATCTTCAGACTAGGGGAAAAAATCATCTTTACATTAAAAGCCATATAAATGCATTTTTAAAATAAGGCTCATTTTGAAAGATGACCAGTGATTCACATTATTCTAATGCAGTTGTCTGCATGGACTTGAAGAGGCTTGCAGGGTACACAAACAGGTGGGTTTTAAGAAACTTTATCACTGGCAAGCTTTTCTGTTCTTCACAGAAAAAGCACAAACCTATTATGAGACATTGGAGCAGAATGAAGTAGTCCCTGAGGAAAACTGGCATACAAGAGCCCGCAACTTCTGCCGCTTTGTCACTGCAATTAACAACACTCCTCGGAACATTGGCAAGGACGGCAAGTTTCAGATGCTGGTGTGCTTGGGAGCCAGGTACTGCAGCCCCGGGGGCCCAGAGGACACGGCAGCCAGGCTTAGAGGTGAAGCAGAGTTTAGTATTGTGGTGGGTGGCAGTGCATGGTATCCAGGGTCCCCTGGGCAGGAGATGGCTCGAAGGGCTCCTTAGAGGCTGCTAGTATCTGTTGTGTCCTGTCTATGTGCAGCAATCTGTTGGGGGAAAGCAGATGTAACTGTTAGAAGTGGGACCATGTTTTCACAGGAAAGTTCAAAATCACCCCAGTGGGGAAATTGGAAGCAGAATATATATGTATTTATTCCTTTAGTAAACCTTTGTACCAGCATAGAACATGGTAGGAAGAGGGCTGAGTAAAACATATCACTGCCATTTAGAAGTTTACTTGTTCCCAGCACTTGAGAGGCTGAGACAGGAGGATCGTTGGGAATTCAAGACCAGCCTGAGCTATAAAGTGAGCTCAAGGCCAGCCTGAACTGCATAATGAGGCCCTGTCTCAAAAAGACAAAAAAAAATTTTACTTGTTTCAATTTTAAAAATCAGAGAATATGAGAATCCTTCAAAGAAGTACCCACTCAGAAAGTATGCTGAAAACAGTGGGGATTTAGCTCAGTGGTGTAAGTGCCTACCTGGCAGGTACAAGGTTGTGGTACAGCCCCAGTACCAAAAAAAGAAAGAAAGAAAAAGAATGAAAGAAAGAGAGAGAGTGAGTGAGAGAGAAGGGAGGAGAGGGGGAGGGAGGGGGGAGAAGAGGAGAGGAGAGGAAGCAGAAAATGCAGACAAGGGAGGTCAGAGGAGGCTTCAGAGAGGAGGTGACTTGAAGATGACCTCTAGTGGAAGGAAGTAAGAGAATGAGGGAAGGGCAGTGACAGGCAACTCAGTTGAAAGCTGGGGTTCCTGAGGACCTGGGACAGAGAGAGTTCTTTCTCATATTAGGACAGCATTGTTTATCAGGGGTCTGAAGTTACACAAAGTTGATGCAGGTGGTGTGCTGTGGAGTAGGAATATTGGGAGGGGCTGTCCCACTGTGTCAGGTTAAAAGCGTGAAGCCCACACAGACTTGAGGCAGTATGTTTAGGACATACAAAGGAGAAAGATGGCATAAGGTTAAAAATAGACTAATCCAGGCACCATTCAGGAGGCTGAGGCAGGATGCCTTAAATCCAGGAGCTTGAGGACAGCCTAGGCAACATAACAAGACTCTGGGTCAAAACAAACAGACACAGACCCTAGACCCAGATTTTCCAGTTCACATCTCAAGTCAGTCACTTACTAGTGTGTGATGCTGGACATCTGTAAAGTGGAGATAACAATACACCTGCCTTCTAACCTGGGCAGTCATAAGGATTAAGTCTCTAACTGCTGGCCTGTGTGAAGTGCTGTGGGAGTCCGCCCTGACTCCTGGTGTGGGTGGATAAGCACTGCAGCCTGGGGCGCTCCGATCGGTGTCCTGGGCCTGGGCAGCTCCCAGTGGAAGCCAGACTCTGGGAGGGAAGGGAATGGCCTGTGGGAGCTTCTCCAGCTTCGGGCTTAGTTGAGGTGTCCCCGCTGACCTTGTGTCCTCTCTTCCTTACCTCTTCTCTGCCTGGCCTGGACCGCCTCTGCCCCATTAGAGATCACCTGCTGCACCACTGGATCGCCCTGCTGGCCGACTGCCCCATCACCGCACACATGTATGAGGATATGGCGCTCATCAAAGACCACACACTGGTCAACTCCTTGATCCGTGTCCTGCAGACACTGCAGGAATTCAACATCACGCTGGAGACATCCCTTGTCAAGGGCATTGACATCTGACCTCACAGCACCAGCCGGCAGCCAGACCCAAAAGACTCTCCCTCAGCTTGGCCCTTCTCCCCAGAGGGATGCACGCAAGCTGTGCAGGGGATGGAGAGGAGATGTACACTCACTGTAAAAAGAAAACTAGAGGATTTTTGGAAAAAAATAATCTATTTTAGAGTTTATTTGCTGATTTGCTTTTTACACACTTTCATGTGAAAGAGTGATAGGGAGAGGGAGCGAGGTTGGTGCCGCTTATTTTGAAGCTGGCGCCCTCCCTCGCATGGCCACACACCGGGAGCCTGCGGCCTCCTGGGCTGCGCCTGTGCGCAGGCCATTCTGCTTCCTCGCCCTGACGTGTCGATGAGGCCATTCCACATCGTTTTTAAACTAATGTTTTCTATATTAACATTATTATGGATATTTGGCTCTCATGGGCCACATACAGGTGTGCTGAGCGGGAAGCCCCATGCTCCAATCAAGGGAATTTTAGTAGTGCCTCTAAGCGAGCACTGAGGAGTCAGCCCCATGTCATGTTTTTGGTTTTTGTTTTTTCAGTCAGTATTATTTGGGAACGAGACATGCCGGGACACGTCAGTGCTGTCCCTCTGCAGAAGGGCTTGTTTCCTCGTGGCGCATAGTTGCACACAAGTAAACATAAGCATGTTTTAACAGCTTTTCTTTTTCTTACATTTTATTTATTTAACCCTCCATTGTGTGTTTTAAGTATTTCTTTTTCTTTTTTTCTTTTTTTCAAGAAAGGAAAAGCTTGTCACAGTCTAACCGGCTATGTTATTACTGTTAAATTTATGTTGTTTTGCAACTTAGAAACCAGCTACAGTATGGCCCACTTAATAAAACACCTGAAACAAGGCTGCTGTGCAGGTCACTGATGTTTGAAGGGAGGAGGACGGGGTGAATGGGTTAGTTATTGGCAGAGGGTGCAACTTGGTCTGCCGGAGAGGGCTGAGGAGAGAGGACCAGCTGTGCATCGCCTCTCTCCCCTGTGTGCCCCCAGGTGGCTGTGGACTGCGTACCATACTCCTGCAGGCCTGGGGTCTCCTTGGTTCTTCTCCCCACAGGGCCAAGAGCTCTCATAGATGGTAAGAGGCTAACTAAAAAGGATGTAGGTAAGAGTTACTTTCTCACTCTACAGAGACTGAGGAACAGTGTAGAAAAACCAGGCCAGGATTACAAAGATTGTCACTTGGCTGACACAGGATGAACCATTTTTTAAAGATAAGGGAGACCGCATGTGGGAACATAGAGGACCTTGTCTGCCCTAAAAAGGAAAAACCCTTCCTTGGGAGAATGGCTTTTCCAGGGATGGTTAAGTGGGAGAGTTTCATAAAGTCTTCCCAAACCCCTTAGTCATTACATCATAATAGTTCTTTAATTTCTTGGGTGCAGGTACTTCCTCTCTGCCTGCTTCATACTGAGCCTGCCCCCTAGACCATGAGTCCCTATGGAGCAGAGGGAACCTCTTGTCCATCCCTGGCTCCATGCCTGGGGCATGGTGAGTGTCCTCTGAAGGTTTTTAGAAGGTTTTTAGACTGGAGTCCCAGAGAGCTGCAGTACGGAGTCCTGCCAGCAGGGGACGTGAGCAGGCCAAACTGCACCCAGCTACCTGAAGGCCCCTGAGTCTTCATTTCTTTTGGAGGCAGGGAGGGAAGGTGTGGGGAGGATGGGCTATGCCTCTGGAGTAGGAAGAGATGATTCCTGGCCAGAAAAGAAGGGAGCATTAGACTCAGCTGTGTGTGTGCATGCTTGGGGCCTAGGCCCAAGCTTACTTTAAGCTGAGAGTTTTACAAATGTGCTTCTCCCTTTCACAACTCTGACGCAAGTGTAGATCACCCTAGATTTGCAGGCAAGGAAATTGAGGCTCAGAGAAGTTCATTGCTTGCCTAAGGCCCCACAACTCTTAAGTGTTGTGCAGTTTCCAAATTTGTGCTTTTCCTTTGATAATGACTCCCTTATTTGGTTTGAGTCTCTGCCCAGCTGTCTTCAGAGACTTATCCTAACCTTTCAGAAAGACTGACTGGTTCCATCAGTCACTTTCTATTCTGTTCTGTTTTCCTTTCTAATACCTGCAAATTGTTTATTCTTTGGGTGTTTGTTTGTTTGGGTTAACCAACTCACAACCTTGCACTTGCCAGGTAGGTGCTTATACCACTAAGCTAAATCTCTGGTCCCAACACTTCATTCTAAAAACAAATTTAGAAAGGTGAGAGTTGATCCACTTTGTTCATTGAATAGTATCTGACATCTGATAGGTACCCTGTGTTTAGAGTAACAGATGAATTCATTGATAGGGGTTAAGACTACAGACTTTTAGAGCTGATTTCTTAAGTCCTATCTTTGTGCTGTCCTGACCTAGGCCAACCTGTGTAACTTTGCTGAATGTTTGCGCACTTGTCCACACAATGGGTCAGTAATAGTGTCTGCATCCTAGGGATATTGTAAGGATTAAGTTGCCTAGAATATGTTAGGCTTGTGTAAGTGCTTGCTAAATGTCAGTTGTTACCCTATTGGACCCAGCCCTGTCTTGGAGATAGCTGAGACTCAGACTCCTAACTTGCAGAACAGTAGAGGAAGATGCCGTCGGGGACTATGATGCCAGGAGGTTTTGACCATGGCAGTTCTGCTGTGTGGAGGATTCTCAGGGAGAGGACATGGGATGACATGACCTGGATGTGTGAATGTGCCCAGAGATCACAAAGCTGGAGAGTCCAGAGTCCCCTCTGAGCTAGGGGATGGTGCAGGTTTGTAGCTCTCTCCCTATAAAGCTAGAGGAAAAAGCCTGACAGGTACTGAAGTGCTCTGAAAAAATGTGGACTAATTGGATATATGAACACAGGTTGTAGGCACAGAAGTCACTGCAGTCACCAGTGTGTGGCTTTCTGGAGTGTTAGTGCTGTGGCTCCCCTTATCTGATAGGAATGAAAGCCCATGATCTGAGCACAGCTGCTGGGTTGGGCTGCTGGAGATGAAGGTGGCCAAGGGAGTCACTGGTGACAGGTGCTCATAACCAAAGGGTCTGCTCACCAGCATTGACTCCATCTACAAGGGCGCTGTATGTCTCAGGGAACAGGGGAGTATTTCTAGGTAATATGGGAGTACCTCCTCTCGTTTATCTTCTCTCTGCTTTTAGAAGCTGATAACCTGAGGCAGTGTTCAAGCTAATCAGTTTGACCTTCCTGTGCAGCTGACCAGCAGGTCATGATCCTGTGTGATGGATCATGGGAACATCCAGCATTCATGTTTCAGTGAGGGTATTAGTGACTTGGGCAGCACAGCAGCAGAGACCTTTGGCCTATTCAGGAGATGCAGCTGAGAAGGTGGCCATGACGCTGTTTTATATGTTAGGGCTCAGCTGGGACCATGTAGCCTGCTGTTTTTTTCTAATTGCTGATTCAGCTGTGAATATTTCACTTTCTACTGTGCTTTGTTTCCTAACCTGCTGCAGACCCCTTCTGGAATGATGTGTGATAATGTAGCTCAGTACTTCAAGGACACTCAAGTCAGCTGCATCCTGTGGGCCTAGCCAGGCCTCCATAGCATCTTTGGGTAAATCTGGTGCACTTGAGCCAGTTGTCGGCTTCTGTACCTGCTTTGGTTCTGTGCTTTCCAGACTCTGGGATTTCGGGGATTGGTAAGTAAACAAGCAGATGAACTCAGTCAATTTTGATAAGCTAAACACCCCTGTAATCACTGCCCACATTCAGTATAGAACTTTGCCAGTCCCCCAAATCCAGGAAACTCACTGTGCGTCCTAATCCCAGCTGTCTCCCTCTTGTCCTCTTGGCTTAAGTAATTATTCCCCTAAGTTTCTTTTTCGCTTTAACACTCAACTCTGCATTCTTATGCTCCTTAAAAACTTTTCAATGCATGTTTTAAGTCTCTTTTAATCTAAAGGATCTGCTCAACTCCTTTCTTTTCCTTACGACTTGTTTAAGAACCTGGGCCTGTGATGGCTCTATGGTACTCGCATGTATCACTGTATTATTGGCTGCTCTAAAATGTTTGCCACCACTGCCTTAGGCATTTGATCTGTAGAGTTCTCAGCCTGCATTTTGTTAATTTCATGCCAGTGGTACAATTCAGTGTGCTTCTTTATCTTCTGTATTGCCTACAAATGAGCAGCTAGATCCAGTGAGGTGTGATGGCATACACCTCTAATCCCATCACTCTTGGGAGGCTGAAGCAAAAGAATCACAAGTTTAACAGACTGAGCAATTTAGCAGGACCCTGTTCAAAATTTTTAAAAATGAACGAAGGGTTTGGAATGTAGCTCCGTGCCAAAAGGACTTGGGTTCATTCTCCAGTACTGAGAAAAACCCAAGTTTGATCTCTTTGATGAGTCTTGATGGTGATGGGCTCATTTATCAGGAAGCAAATAATGTCTGGTCTCCACATTCTATTATCAGCCATGAATTTTCAATGCCTATATCCAACAAACACAGGTAACCAGAAGTTTTTACATGGAGATATTATAGTCTCATTTTGTTTCCATTTATTACATGGAATGGGTTTGTTTGTTTTGTTTTTGAGATAAGGTCTTGCTATGCAGTTCAGGGTGGCTTTGAATTTGTTACAAAGCTCAAGCTGGCCTGAAACTCAGCAATTTTGCCTCAACCTCCCAAGTGTTGGAATTACAGGCATGTGCCACCCTACCTGGCTCTTTTAATGGTTTTGAAGGAGACATTTCCTTTTCTAATACTGATTTCCCTAGAGAGTTTGTGTAGGAAAAGTAATACCTAAAAGCTGCCAAACCTGATGTGTTCCCACTGGCTTGAAGCTCCTGTGGTTCAGAGCCACCCAGCAGTGAGACACATGTGAACACCTTAAAGGTTACACTTAATTTCTCCTTTTGTTTATCCAACTTTTAAGATAATGAACTGGTTCCCTGTCATCTTTAGGAGGTGACTATTTAAAAAATTTTATTATGAATTCATAGGTAATTGAACTCCATTGCAGTCATTGTCCTATCCTTGGCCTTCGTAGCCTCAGATCAGCCATTTCTTCAAAAATCCCTGGTTTCCTTACATAAGAAATGGTATTGCAAGACCATTCTTGGGCACTAGAGATGCACATTAGTTCAGGTAAGTCATTGTGTCTAAATCTATTCAGTAGGGGCCAGGGATGTAGCTCAGGGGCATAACACCTACATGGCAGGCTTGAGGTCTTAAGTTTGATCCCTGGTACAAAAAAAAAAAATCTATTCAGTAGAGAAAGCTTGTGTTTAAATCTAAATATAGTGTGTGTATTTTACATAAATATCTAGAAAAAGATAAAATTGCTATGCATACTTCAAGGCATTCATAAGATCCAGGAATTATGTATGTTAAGCTGGGCATGGTGGTACATGTCTGCAATCCTAGGATTTGGGAGGCTGAGGCAGGAGGATCACTGGCCAGCCTGAGGTCTCTACATAGTGAGACCTTGTCTTGAGAAAACAAAACAAAAATTTTAAAAATGTTAAATGCAAATATAAATGTATGTGTGTGTATATCTCATATACCTTATGATTTTATAGTGATATCTTTAAATTCAGGATCATAGGATTTTTATTTTACTTTAAATATATTATGTCTTTATCTCTTTTTCTATAATGAGAACATTTTTTTTAAGAGTAGGAAAACTTAGAGAAAGAGTGAGCTCCTGACACAGAAGTGGTCCCAAATAAGTCACCAGAGAACAGGGTTTTCTAGGGCAGAGGGATTGATAGGCTAAAATGGCCTCTTATTATCCACTTTATCCCACATAATACACATAGCCATCTCAAAATTACAGTATTAATGCTTCCATCACCAATTAGGGTCATGGGAAAATGGTTAAACAGGTTTTTTGAATCCCCATTCTTAACCCCCCCC